TGACTGGTGCTTTTGATGAAGATGACGCCCCTGTTTCTTCCTGTGCTGTTTCTGCTTCATCTACATTGGGTGTCTTGTTGTCTTTGGGGATGTTGATTGTTGCTCCTAATGCTTGTGGTTGGGGTTGCTTTCCTCTTACTCTTCTTGCTTTGGGCGGTTTGGTGGTTGTGGATGGGTCTTCCTGAAATTCTCTCTTCTCCTGCGTTGGCGGTTTTGGTTTCTGTCTCTTTGCTTTGGACTGTCTCACGCTTAAGGGTTTCCTCTTTTCTGCTGTTGGTATTGCTGTTATATCCATTGCTTCTGCGGTGTCGGGCACTACATCCACATTCATTTTTTGATTTTTCCTCCTTTAACTTCTTTTGGTGATTTACCTTTTTGACTTGTTTGTTGATTAGTTTTTGTGTTGGTTTTATCTTGGACGGTTTCTCTTCCTCGTCTTCGTCGGGTATGATGGCGTCTGTCAGTTTTGATGCTATTAGTCCTCCTATTGACCCTCCCTTTGCTGTTCCTCCTGCTGTGGCGACTGCTTTGATGACTGGTTTGGATGATTTAAGGAAGTTCTTTAAGATGCTTCTACTGCTTGAAGGCGGTTCTTCGTCTTCTTGTATCCCTGCCGATGCTGTTGCTCCGACGGCGTCGTATGTTCCTTTGTTTGCCATATAGTGGTCTTGTGAATGACTTAAGTTTGCCTGTTCTGCTACTCTCCTTTCGTTCTCTTCCCTCAACTCTGCCTCTCTGTCAAAGGACATCTCAAAGTCGCTGATGGCGTCGTCCCTCAAGTCTGTCATATCTTCAAAGTCAAGGTTGGGTGTTTCTTCTTCCTTCCTCGCGGTCGCTTCCTCTGCCATCTTTTTGAAGTTCATTTGCTGTAAGTCTGCTGGGTGGATGTTGTTTGTGTTCAGTGCTTGACCCTGCGGACTTTCGTGAAAATACCAAGCGTTCCTATCAAAGATTTTTCTGATGTCATTGGTTTTGAACTTTTCCCTGTCTATTTCCTTGATGAGTTCTGCGTAAGTGGGTATTCGTGTCAATCCCTGTTTTGCGTTGATTACTTCTGCTGTCATTGCTATATATTAATACTTTAGATTTTTATATTAATCTTGTGTATCGCCTCTCAACCACTGCTTATACTCATCAATTCTCTGTTTCATATTCTGGACGTTCGCCCCGTAATCTTCCAATCTGTGATTTTTCCTCACCTCCCTCAACCTTGTCATTTCGTTCTGTAGCATCTCATTCTCTTCCTTCATCCTCTGCTTTACTTGTAAGACCTTGTAATCGTGCTCGGTGCTGTGATATTCAAGAAGACGCTTCAGGTAAAGATGATGGTTGTGAGTTGGCATCCTTGCCGTCTTGCTGTCGTTGTGGTAGTAGTGGTCATAACTACTATACACTTTTTTTCTTCTGTCTGGCATTTCGGGCGTTCCGCTCCTGTAGTTGGCACTTTTGTTTGAATGGACGGTTTGTCTTCTGTTGATGTCCTTGCGGACGTTTTCGTAGATGTCAGTTTTGTTGAGTTCCGTTTTCTGTTCCTTGATGTTCATTTTTATATATAATACTTTATAAAAAATTTTGATGCTAAAGATTTCAATTTCTCTCTCGTCGCTTTGTTCTTTTCCTCTTTGGCTTTGTTGTAGGTGTCTCTGGCGGTCATTGCACTCTGTAGTTCTTCCTTCAGTTGCTTTACAAGGTCGTTTTTGAATGCTTCTGGGTCAAAAGGTGGTTTCGCCCTTGACGGTCTTACCCTTTTGGGCTTTGGCGCTGGTTGCGGTTTCTTTTCAACGGGTGGTTCAATTGTTTCTTCTGGTTTCTCCTCTTCTTTCGGTGCTTCCCGATAGGAAGCAGGGCTTTGCCGTGCTTCTTCCTGTATTGGTTCTGGTATTGTTTCTTCCTTGGGTTCTTCATTATCAATCTCTTTTACGACTACCTCTGTCATATATTAATATTATAGATAATTTTTTATACTTTCAAAATCTCGTGCCTCAAATACGGTTTGTTCAATCCTTCCAGTTTGAAGGTTCTGTTTCCGACATCATCGTATTCTATCTTGACAATTTTGTAGGATTGATTGCTCCATTTTGAGTTATACTCCTTCCTCTCGGTGTAGTTGTCTTTTTTCTTCTCAAAGACCTTGACCATATCATTCACTTTGACCTCTGGATATTTGCGAGTGTTCTTTTCCCTCCTTGTCAAATTCACCCCGTCCATATGGTTCTTGTCGTCGTGGGCATCCTTGGGTTTCATTTTGGTGGATGAATGGACGGTGTCGTTGTATTTATCTAACGCTTTGGACAACATTACAGTCCAACTACCGCGATTAAACCTCACCCTGTCGTGTATCATATTCTTCATTGTCCTTATGAAACGCTCCACAACATTGGCGTGAGTTAGGGTGACGACGTGAGTGATGCCTTCTTTCTCAAAGAACTCTTTTACCCCTGCTTGGAAGGCACGGTCATTATCACTATAAACGGACATTGGAAAACCCATTTTGTTGAAACTCTCTTTCATCGCCGACAATGTGATTGGTCCGGATTTTTCTTTCATAGGGACGACGTTTGCCAACTTGCTGAAGATGTCAATGACCACCAACCCATATCTCGGTTCATCGTTCTTGATGGGAATTTTCGTCTCTGGTTCTTTGGTAAGGGGTTTCATATCCATTATGTCAATCTGATATTCAAACCTTGCGAAGGGTGCGGTGTAGGAGTTTGACCCCCTGTATTTTCTAATCTGTTTGTTGGGCTGTTTCCTCATAAAGTTTTCCACATCCACCCTGTTGATGGTCTGGTCTTGCTCCTTGGCTTTCTTAAGGGTCTCATTGATTGAACCGAAGCCCGTTTCAAGATTATAATAGACATTGCTTATGATGTCATCTCTTGATAGTCTCCTTGCCATATATTATAATATTAGATTTTTAAAATTATCAACAATAAAAAATATAATTACTTAAAGAAAAAATACCTATATATAGTAAGACTAAATAAGATGACTAAATTTCACTGTGGATGTCGTATAATGACAGATGTTATAACCCTGAACGATAGAAACCAACCTAATTGGAACTACTTGCTCAAAACCTTCGTGAATGTGTGTGGCAAGTGCTACAAGAAGCAAATGAAATTCCAATATATGGAAAACAAACTTATGGAAATGGAAAAGCAAAGAATGGAAATGTTTTTGGAAAATGAGGATGAGGAGGAAGACACATACTTTGACCTGACAGAGTTGAAGGAACATCTCAAAACCCTCCCACCCAATGAAAGACATAAAGTGAAGGATTTTGAGAGGTTAAGAAACCTCGCCAATGGACAAGACCCCAACGAAGGAATGAGTGAAATAGATATGGTCATAAGAGAACCGGAAGAGGAGGAAAGGGAAAATAAAAACCAACCCGAGCCCGAAAACTGAACGAGCCCCCAAAAACTACTTAAAGAAAAATTACCTATATATAGTAAGAGGATGCTATTTACCTATAAAAACTGTGGATGTTGTAAAAAAGAAATGACTGACATTAAGGTTTTATTGAACAACATTTTTCCTGCTGGAATTTGTGATGAGATATGTGATTACAACCTTCACTGTTCAAAATGTAAAGAGTTGAATGATAAGGAACGCAGATATATAACATTCAACTATCATTTTGACCATTTTGAAGAGAAAGAACTAACAAGAGTTGAAAAACAAATACATTTCTTTAAAACAAGGATGGAAAAATCACCTATCTATTTATCCAACACCGACCGAACAAATGTAAGAGTAATGAAGAGAGAAATAGACGCTTTAATGGACACCTATAAACTGAAGGTAGAATTTCAAAAAGATAAGATATATCTTCAAGCGATTAAGTCTTATGTCAGAAACCATTGGAAATACACTTATCATATTCTCAAGAACTTTCACGACCTTAATTTCATCAATTACAGTAAGCAACGAAGATGCTGTTGGTTTCCTAATGTTGAACGAACTTTTATGTTTAGAAACAGGGAGTTCAAGATAAAAGACATTTTGGAAATTTTCTTGCGTGAATATGTTGAAGAACTGTTCAACGGTTATGAGAAATATTTGAACATAGAAGAAATAAAAGAGCACCTACAAAAAGTGATAAATACTTAAAGAAAAAATATCTATATATAGTAAGAGAAAATGAGTAGAGCAAAAATTGAGGTTATAGATACAGGGAATATTGGTATATATGCTGACTTTGGTAGTGATAGTGAGGACGATGATTGGGAAAGAAAACAAATAGAAAAAGAAGATGAAGAGATTAGAGACTTTGTAAAGTGCCATCCTATGCCTTCACCAGATGATGAGGAAGGAGAAAAGTTTTGGAAGAAAGTAATTGATAGGATGAAATCAGGGGAAGGGGTAAAGGATATGACGATATATATGTTTGTAAATTTTGACATTATGAAAAAGATGTATGAAAACCTGACTGATAAAAAAGTCATCATTGATTGTGGAAAGGAACTCAACCGTGATGGTGAATTCAACGCAATGATTATTAACATAACTCTTTTATCAATAGCGATGGATGAACTGAATGATACAAACAAACCCTGCTTAACACAAATGAGAGTGATTGAACACTGGTGGGATGGAATAGGAAAGTGGAAAGCATAAATGATTAATTCATAATATCTTAACAACACATATTATGAAGTAATCACCCACCCAAACACAAACAAAAAACCCAACAGCCTAAACAAATCCTACCCCCATTCAATCCAAACATTGACACATCACTTTAGCAACAAAATTACCCCCAAAACCCCACCTGAAAAAACATCAAAGGCGAAGATGAAACATTGAACCCCAACACAAAATCATAACAAGCAACATACAAACATATACGCCCTGAAACCCCCATTTTTCCATTTTTTTCCCAGTCATGTTAGCATATATACCAGCACCATGGATCCTGTGGGAATATCTAATTTTAAATCACTAAAGACCTGCGTGGGTGTCGAGATCTTCGAGATCGCAAATGCGGATTGTTCCAGGCGATGCAACGGAGTTTTGCTGAGGTTGGGGTGGCCGTCCAACTGGGTGAGTCTATTGAAGCTCCAAAGAAATAGCATTGTTGGTTGGTTGTGTCAGGGGGCTATAGTGCTTTATTGATCTTTATTGGGGATTGACACAATACATAAACAATATGTGAATCCCTATCAATAATCTATCAATAGGATAGGGGTGATTTTGGTCATGCTTCTATTACAGTAGCCACAAGAATTTGGGGTCTTAACTTTGTGAACCGGTGAAAAAGAATTCACTGACATCAAAGATACATGGATCAACCTTGGGTGGAAGTATTTCGAAACACTGGATTGAGCAGGCAGGACCTGAACAAATGATGAATCATGACCATGTCATAAGGTATATCATATTCCAACAATATTATATATTTTGTCATGAATCGAACCATTTTTAGAATTGTGCACTTTGTATCTTGGAAAGAAGTGTTTTGTTGGGGAGGGAATGTGCTGAAATCCCATGATACCCCCTTTTCAATTATATTGTAGATTTTCATGTGATGACAGGGGCCTCTGTCCAAGATGAGGGATGGATTTTTGGAGTTGTAAAGTCGAAGTTGGGAAGCTAAAGTGTGTTAGACAGTGATTCGAATCTTTTAAGATTTGGTATTTGAAATATGAAATATTTAACAGTTGGTCTTATCTGACTGATTCAATTAATTGTGTCATATTGTGTCTTAATCCACAACCTCCGGTGTCATAAACCCTAAACCATAAACCATTTCCTAAATCACCATGAATCACCATTTTTATGGGTTCTACAAACCATCCCCAGTCATGGTAGGTTTATGGCAGCCAGGGTTTCTCACATTGCTGTTATGGCTCGATGAGCAGCCCGCTTCCGGAAACCTTCATGGCTCGGGGATATTCCACGGATCGATGCCTATTTCATATCTGGGCTCGGTGGTTTTGGATGTGATTTTTTTTCATATCTGGTTGGTGATTATCTATGGCTTATGATAAAATATGGATATATTATGATATATTATTGTATATGGATTAGATATATGATTAGATACTATATGATTCTAGTGAATGATTACCCGGCCTGGAAAACTTTGGATATCTTTGGATCATTCCGCTATGGAAAGATCCACCATGCGTTTTTTTTTATGGGAAAATCCACTGAGGGGAGTCCGGCGCAACCCAATCCTGTACTGTCTCCCAATGTTTCTTCGTAGAGTTTGGAGAAACTGGATACAGACAGTCAATGGATTGGTTTTTGTTGGGAAAATCGAAACCGGAAACCATCGATTTTCCCATGAAGATCATGGGGTTTTCCTGTAAATGTTCCCTTAAACCAATCCATTGAGACAGTTTCAGCATGTTTTGGACATGGAAAAATTGTGGACCCCGTCGACCATCCTACGGTTCAGAACGTTGTTCCCCCATGTTTGGTTGCTTTTGTCCACCATTTGCAGAATTTTGCAGGCATCAAAGCCATGGTACAACGCGCCAATCCGTTGACATAATATAACAATATACTGATGTTTTCACATATCAACGGATTGTTATCTATGTATAGTATAGATAAACATTATAAATATAATATATATATATACATTATATTCACCCATATTTTTGCCATATCTATGTCAATCGAGGTATCCGACACCAAGATTGATCTTAGCATAGATGCAGTGCTTCATAGCTACAAAGGTGATGGCACCCTCTTGGAAACCACTGAGAATGTGGACTGGACGATGAGTGGAAATGAAAAAGCAAGCCGTTCAGCAGACCAATCGTGCAGTGCATCGAAAGGTCCGTATGCACCAGAGCTAAACCTGTCAAATGGCCGTGACGGGTAGGAGCAGCGCAGGCTGCCGATCATGGATGCGCCGCATGGCATCTACGATTTTCAACACTACATGTTTTAGTGGTTGGTCGTTTCAAACATGAGGGCTTGAGATCACCAATCAGACATGTTCGATGCAAACCCTAGGTCTGCCCGCGGCGAATCCCGCATATCCTTTGACATGCTCAAATCCCTGCGTAGGGTTTAAGTTTTTTACTTTCCAAAACAACAAACCCTAAAACCCTAAAACCTAACACACTTAAGCCTAAATTTAAACCCTAAATCCTGAAAACTTAAAGTCAAAATCACTGCGTATAGCCAGTGTTTTCATTCATCCTCTGGTGATAAGATGTGATAAGTATATCATATTGTTTGATATTGTTTGGATGTGTTGTTTTTTCGTGTGGGCGAACCCGGGCTTTGGAGGGGACATGTTTTTTTTTAACGTTGCTATGGAAAATCACCATGTTGAATTCACGGTAAATCATGATGTTTATCATCGAACTAAATGGACCATGGCTTTCATAAGTATGTTAAATAACCAAAGGGTTGTTCAATTTTAATGATAGAGTTCAAACTATGAAAACTCTTGATCATTATTGTGTATTTATTTGTTTATTTATTTATTTATTTTTAGTTTTAGTTATTTATTTATTATCATAGTAGATCTATAGTATTACTTGACCAATCAGCATGTCTCAAGATCTTCCTGGCTCTGCGCAGGTCTTACAATGCAGCTCAGCCCAGGTTTGCCTGTGTCGGAAGAGCCCAGTTGAATTCTAAACACCGGCAGTGCCCAGTGGATCCGGTCTTGTCTTTTTTTTGCTTGATTTAACCAGAAAAATTGATGCTTCATGTGATTCAAGCATCAAAAAGAGTAATTGATATTGGTTAATCTTATGACATTATCATTATCTGATTAGATATTAGATTATCTAATTAGTAAATGATATTAGATAATGTAACTCATGTGATAATTAGCATTTTTCCATGGCATGTGTAATCTCGAGGATTTGGAGCAAAACCTCTGATTCTCTGGGCTGATTTGAACAACGCCAGCAGTCCCTCACTCCCTTCAGCCAAGCAGAAGGTTTGCCATGAAATCATGGCCTCCGTAATGGACCAACACTGGATATGTTCTGCACACATGCCATCCATATGCCATCCATATGTTCTTTTTAAAAAAGTTGAGACCTGTGGAAGATCAGTTCCACTGGGATGCTAAATTGGACAAGGTCGGACTGCAGGTTTTCAACTAGAGATTTTTTCGAAATCGGGACGGTTTTCAACCAACAAACATGTCTCTGCAGCTTTGTTGGTTGGATCTGATTGGAAGTACCCTCTGGTTATTTAACATAGCCATGGTATAGATGGCCCATTTAAAGATGGTTTACCTATTAAAAATGCTGATTTTCCATGGCTATTTCCATCTGTAGACAGTCACAATTCCCAGATTTCTAGCAGTTTCCCATGATTTGCCCATGACCATTTGGCCACGACTTCCAAGCCCAGCGGCACCTGAAACACCTACAATTACGGTGAGATCCACATCAGGTCCACATCATGGCCAGAGCATTTTTACGGTGGCAACCCCAAAATAGATGAACAGTTGGAAACCTGGAAATATGAGGTAAGTAAATGTAAGTATCATCTATGTATCGTCTATGCATCATCTATGTATCATCTTCTCTACAGCATCCTGGAAACACAAGGTTCTTTTCATCGTGTTTTTTGGTTGCTATAGTTCATATGATATAGATATATAATATTAAAATAATTTAAAATATATAAAACAACCCATAACTCTTACGATTTGTGATCCACCCAGGGGGCGCCCCCAAATCCCCCCCCGTGATGCGGAGAAATAGCGCTGAGGCCGGGCATGCGTCCCACCATGCCGGGCGTGCCTGTGGTCAGAAGCTAAGGAGAACGAAGCGGACCCAAGGATTCCAAGGATGGAAGTGGTGATCATTTTCTATGTTTTTTTTGTCCATTCAAAATACCCTGGTATAGCCTGGTGATGATTAAGCTTAGATTTGATGATTGGGAGTTATACTAGTTATACTATGCTATACTACCGAAGTTATTGGGGATGAGTATCAACCCATTGGGATATTTATCCCACTAGTCTAACTGGTCTATGCACATCCAAGTGGGTTGCAGTTCCACTCGTTGCTTTTCGTCACTGGAATCATGGGCATTGAAAGGGGTAACTGGGTCCCAAAATGACCTTAATTCAGCTTAGTGAAGTATTATAATCTGCATGATTTATCCAGATGTATATAACTGTACGTATTATCCAGATGTATGACAAACTGTACGTAGTATATCCCACAGCTGGTTTATGATCTGGAGAATTAACTCATTGGGAACATCCAATTGGTTGATGTTTTTGCATCATCAAAAGTATGGGGATCTACTGTAATTGATAACTACATTGGTAGGTTGATGGCTACAGGGATATACCTTTAGCACCTAAGGAATTTCTTGGCCAGAGTGTGAACTGACCCAGTACGTGAATCCCGTTCTCAATGAACCTATGAAGGAAAAATCACATGTTCGCAGTCAGTCAGTTTGAACATGTTTGAACCATGTTGTTTTCTCTTTCTATTTCAGAATCAGTCATGGGCGTTGAGTCATTGAGTCATGGTTTCCCGGACTCAGAAAAGTCAACCGGTTGCATCTAGTTCCATTGATGTTTACCCTCTGCTAATTTAACATAGCTATTGAAAATGGTACATAGAAATAGTGGATTTAGCCATTGAAAATGGTGGATCTTTCCATGGTTATGTAAACATTTACCAGAGGGTATCGATGTTCATCACCTATTTGGGTAGCCCAACAGGGTGCCCCAATCGCCGGTGATTTTTGCGTCTCATCCGAATGGGCCATGATCTTCCATGGCTTAAAATGGCTTCCATGGCGATGATGAATTCGCAGAGAAGATATTTACACTGATTTATAGTGATTTAATGGGATTTAATGGGATTTATAGTGATTTAATGGCATTTTATAGTGATTCAATGGGATATTAATGGGATATACCCTCTGGTAAACTAACAGTTTGCTATTGAAAATGGCCGTTCATAGTGGTTTTTCCGATTAAAAATTGTGATTTTCCATAGTTATGTAAACGTTTACCAGAGGGTACCCATTAAAAAACAGCTATGATATGCTATAATGATATACCCATGATATACACATTATATCCCATGGATTAAAAGTTGCCCTTCTCAAAACACTTTCCAAGGTGAGCTTGGGTGGCCTGCCACCACCAATCCAGGCCCCGAAAGCCCCGTTGCAGCCCCGTAAAGCACCAGCCATCGAGTAGATAGGAATTTGAACGATGGGTAGATAGATCATGATAGATCTATATATACTATACATATAATATCTTTACATTATATATATATATATACATACTATATATGTATACTATTTTATATATGATTATATATTGATATGTATTGTATTTAATATGTATTATATAGACGTAGAGAATCACGGTAGATGGTCAAAGGAGTCAAAGATAGTCAAAAATAGTGAGGTTGCATATCCATGGTTCTCCAGACGACCAAATCAGCTGTGTGCCATAATTCCCTCTCTGTAGAGGCAGTGAAAAGCTTCATTTTCTGCCGAAAAAGAGGTCAAAACCCATGGAAAATCCCATGGAATTCCTCATGTGTTCACATTTTTCCCTTGAACATGACTAGTGACTTAGTGACTACTGACTCCTGCGGTGCCATGATGCCATGATACACACAACGGTATCTGAGAATAGGATTTTGTGGCTCCAACCTACTGTTGTTCTCCCTACCCTCTGGTGAACTAACATAGCAATGGAAAATCACCATTTTTCATGGGAAAATCCACTATAAATGGCCATTTTCCATTGCTATGTTAGTTCACCAGAGGGTAATGCTTTTGGGGTGTAAATTTATAAAATGATATCAACATCTTGGAGGATCATCCCACGGATCATTTACGTGATTCCATTCGCCACGGTTATCAGCCCCTTTTTACATATGGGATAACCCATGAAACCACCGCCCAAATATCGGTTGGCTCCTCACAGTTAAAACCATAAATCCACGGTATATCCACGGAAGATGCATGACATGAAATTAACACCATGCAAGGTGCTGCCCCATACTTGGCTAAGTTGATGTACAACTCTAGTAGCTATGGTTTATGGTAGATATATGATACATGATATATATATATATATATGTATAACAAACATCACCGGGGGGGCACCACCTCGGGGTATTATACCGAATTCCCCCCCCCGAACGTACCTGGGGTGTTAGCGCCCTGACAATGAGCTTGTTTTTTTCCTGAACATGATCCATTCTGAGAAAATGTCTCTAGATTTCTAGGCCATTGAGCTGGGTTTTTGTCGCCAAGCTCCACCTGTCGCAGGGCCTTCCCCCACTGGGTGCACTGCCTGGGGCTCTTCCGCCACTGCCAGTGCTGCAGGTCATGGTTGGGTTAATCTTGGGTAGTTTGATGCTTTAATATGTTGCCATGGTAACATAGCTATGCTTGGTTTGATGATGATTGGGATGGAGACTATGATCGGGGTGCATATTTTGGGATTGAATAGGGGATTTGATGGGAAAAGATGTTATTTTCTGGGATTATAATAGGTGATTTTTGATGATTGATGGGAATATTTTAGTTTGCTTTCTCTAATAGCTTCGCGCCTCACAAGCGACACGCCAAGAGCAGGATGATAAGCACCGCATTGGGATTGGCAAAGCTACGCGCACAGTGCGTTGAATTGATTTTGCCAAAAGCCAAAGCCATATGCTCCATGCATGGAATATTTACCAACATTTACCCCATAAATCACCCAAATGTAGGTAAATATACTATACACGGAGCATTTGGGAAAGCAAGATAAGTGGTAAGATTTGACAGGAGGCAAGTCACAACCGTTCTTACTGGAGAAGTGACACATCTTGCCAACCTCTGTGCGTGCCACCCGGCAGATTTCAAAAAAATGATGGTAGCCTATTTTCAGAATCAGAAAAAATGATATGTCTTTGAGTATAGTGAGATATTCATATGGTTTTATCATGTGTTTTTTTGAGGAAATCATTGGCGATATCTTTTTGGAATATCATTGGGATGTAACAAGATGTAGCCATCAAATTTGGGTACAATATGGGGACATAGAATAGATGGATATGGTCGGATTCAGTGGGGAAGGTTCAGCTTGAGGAATTATCATGCGCCATGTATCGAAGTGGGAAGCTGTGAGAAAGTGAGAAGCTGTGAGAAGCCTTTAGTGAATATACCTCAAATGAGTAGAACATAGATAAATCCTATATAAATGGACTCACTAACGATAAAACGCACCGGCCAGCAAAAACTGGCTATGAATCTTATATATATATATTATATATTACATAGTGCCATATATATATATATTACATAGTGTATATATATATATACATATACTATGTATATATATATATACATAGTGTATATATATATATATAGAGAGAGAGAGAGAGTATGACTATTTTTTGTATTATGTATAGTATATATATATAGATATATACATACATAGTAGTAAATATGTCATGTGATGTTTTTATTTTGATCCAGGCACCATCAACCATCCAACTCCAGGCAGGCCTCGTTCGGCCACCAGTGAGGCGGCCGTCCTGGCCGGACCTGGTCCCGTGGTCCGGCCGGCGCTTCTGTGGATATTTACCGTGGATTTATGGTGGATTTATAGGGATTAACATTATATACGGTTCATTATAATAATGATAGAAATTTTAGGATCATGAAAATTAGGATCTCAATGATTTTGAAAGGGATTAAAATGGAGGTACTCTAGCATATTTTGGGCCATATTTGGTGGAGATATTTCCTGAAATTTAGGCCTAGAAAAATAGGCCTTATATATGGTAGGTACCTTCAATTTAGGTGCCATGGATTTATGGGATTAGGATTGAAACAACAAAAATAGTGGTTTCATAGGTATGTAGTGGATGATTACTTGGAGGATCCTGCTACGTTGTCGTAAGTGGTAAATAAGCCTGGTGTTAGTCAAAGTCCCCATGACTCGTGGGTTATTCACATAGAAATGGTTGAACTGACTATAGTTACAAACCAGTTAGCAAGTAGGATGATCCTCCAAGTATCTAAGTTGGTGAGGAAGGGTGACTATCCCCAAATGGTTCAACTTTTCATGTGAAAGACTATAATTCACCCAAATAATATATGGAGTTGGTTGTGAATCCCTCCCCACGACACGGAAAAATCCCGCAGACTTCGGAGACCTGGGGTGACATCTCCACGACGTGACGTGACGACTGGGTCCTACGACTTGGTGTGGATCAAAGATTTTGGGCAGGATGATCATGCAATCTGTAAGAAATCACCCAATGCATAGAACATCATAGAACCTTACTGTAGGTCATATCCCTCGGTCCCTGGCTGGTAGTTGTAGAAATCATCGATTCCCACAGTGGATAGGATAGTCAGTGCTGAAATGTGCTGACGACCGATGATGGCCGGTAGGGGAGATCTTTTCTAAAATTGTTTATTTCAGGATTCCAAACATGATGATGATAGGCAATCCGCATTTACCAAGACATACATAAATTGGATTGGTTTACAGAGGAAGAGAACATTAAAATCATGGAAAAAACCTCGGAATACTCGATGGGGAAAACAATGGCTTCACCTCTGTTTTCATGTTGAAGTTAAAACCAATCATAATTGCCCCATTCATAAGTATATAATCCAGAAAAAAATATGAAGAAGTAGTACATACATACATATATATATATATACATACATATTTTTTTACATATATATTTATATATAACCCTTAATATAATACATAACTGCACCCCCAAGTAGTGGTGGGCTTTAGAAGTTTTCGGACCACGTCCCTGGAAAGGTCTGGTGCTGTGCCGCCTGCCGCGCCAGCGGCTGCAAACGCTGCAAGCGCTGCACCGGTGGAGGGGTCCACGCCCAAAGCGCCTCCCGTTGGGAATCTTAGCCATGGACGGCATCTGGCTGAAAAAATGGTGATTGAATGGGATTTTACAGTGATTGAATGGGATTTTAAAGTGACTAAATGGGATTTTATTGTGATTTGATGGCATTTGATAGTGACTTGATGGGATTTTAGAGTGATTTCATGAGATTTTTATGGTGATTTTTATGGATATGCAGATCTTTCAGCAGAACATGTTTGATTACCAGAGGGTACCCCCAAGTTTTTTGGCAAGTTTTTCTTTAAGGAAAACTATGGATAAACCAACACTTTTCTGGGATGTAACATCACCTTTTTATCACCTTTTTGCCGGGAAAACTATGGCTTTCTTCAAGATGGAGAATAATAAATCTATGGTTATTTAACATAGCCATGGAAAATTGCCTATTTATAGATGGTTTACCTATTAAAAATTGTGATTTTCCATGGCTATGTTAAATAACCAGATGGTAAATCTATGGTGATTGATGCTTACCCATGGGATTTGTGGGTCAAAGAAATGAGAATACCCCCCATGTAAATCCATGGAATGCATCATGTTTCCAAGAGCCTTTGGCTCTTTTCGGGTAGCCATGACTTGATAAAAAAAATCCAGATGTGATCGTGAAGTCCAAAATTTTGCTTGGTTAGATCAGAATTTTTGGATGGTTACCATCTGGTTATTTAACATCGCCATGGAAAATCACCATTTTTGATAGGTAAACCCAGGTAAACCATCTATAAATGGCTCATGGCTTCTATGGCTATGTTAGTCATAACCAGATGGTTAAATCAGTTGTTCATCCCATATGTTGGGTGAACTCCCAAATTTCTGAACCGGCCTTTGCCCGTTTGACTCTGCCGGTGATCTGAGGCGGCGCCATCTGTGGCGTCCAACAACGTGCAGCCGCTAGGGCAGCCCTGCACGGTCTACGTAGGTCGCATCTCAGCCGAGGTCGCTTGGGTTCAGAACGGCCCTCTGTTACTGGGTAGCCTCTGGTAATGACTAACAGCAAATGCTCTTGTTTGAAAATGGTACATGTATATAGTTCTAGGTAAATTATAACGACCTCACTGTTCTCCCTCACTGGAATCATGGTTAGTAAGGAACATCATCCCCAAATGGCCGCAAGATTCAGGTTAGTGAAATATTATAATTTACACAGATAGTTATATAGTTGATTTACCCATGAAAAATCATGATGTTCCATCGCTTTTTGTATGTTTACCAGAGGGTTGTAGATGTTATAGTAGGGAGTATTCTCAATACAATAATAACGTCTATACGCCAAGATTGTAAAAGTAACTTTATGGTAACCATCCTCTGTCCCCTATGATGAAATATGCCTGTTATATATCATATGCCTGTTATGTATTATATATACATATTTATATATATATAACAATGACAAGAATTGTAATACTGATCATTAATACAGTAATCATAATAATCATGATAATTTGGTAAAACATAGTAAAACAATAATGATAATGGTAATAATATATACAATGTATCAATGTCAACCGTGGCAACAACCACATCAATAACGATGATAGTAAATATATCTGCCAAACGGCCGCATGATCATTCTGAATATGCTGAGTTGTCGCGGACCCAGGTTGAAGCTGGAGAGGGGTGGTAAGTAGATCAGCCCCATGCCCCATGTCATACCAGTACTGCTAATACGCAATACCCCAGTTAAAGATCAGCTAGCTAGTTGGTTTCATGGGTTATGTTCATCACTTGCGACGCCTAGAAGTTCCTAGAAGTCTGCACATCCACTTATAGGCGATCATGATTGAAACCCCATGGAGTTTTACCAATTGAACATGTCAAAACATGTTTTTTTGGATCCGCCTGATAATACAACATCATCTATGTGTACCCACCTATCCAATTTCGGGATTGTGATGGAATGATCACCTAGTGAGGCTGTCTCCCTGTGTCACTACTCATCCTAATAAACATAAGAACACAATAACATAGCATCGTCATCATCCTGATATCCATCCTGATATCCATCCTGATATCCATCCTGATATCCATCCTGATATCCATCCTGATACATAATCCTGAACACAATAACATAGCCATCTGATATCCATCATCATCCTGATATCCATCCTGATATCCATCCTGATATCCATCCTGATATCCATCCTGATATCCATCCTGATATCCTGATATTCTCATCCTCATTCGGCAGGTCTCCGACGATTTCGTCAGACAAGTGCTGGAGAAGTGCGGCAAGGTTTCAGCTGGATGTTTCTGCAGAGGGATCAGCTGGGAACAGGTGGACGCCAGACATACACACAAATAAAGGCCTTATCTGTATATTTTGGGGTTATCCGTTATCCCCGGTCATTCCTTCGGGCTTAGAGATGTAGAATGTGACTTCTAGTTTTTGAGATGTGGAATTTTTAAAGACACCACCGCGTCACTGTAAATTTTAATTAGGATTGGGGTAACTATCCCAAAATGGCCAAACTTTTCAGGTGAATAGGGGTACAAGTTGCATAGGTTTAGGGCAAATGATGAGCAACGATGAGATTGATTCACCAACAAGAATGGCAATTTGATTATGTAGGACAATGGGTGATTCACCAGCAAAAATTGGTTAAATATCTTTACAAAACCTTTTTGTGAATGGTAGATTTATATTGGTGAAATGTTTTCTCTTGATGATACCATCCTCAAAGAAATTGCTTGCATGATTTTTGTCATACTGAAGATGGTTAATTAATTGACATTTATTTATATATATATATATATATAGTTTTTACATAAAAGTTCGAGCCCGACCCTCATCCCATCCTATCACCCCCCTACGTGATGGGTCCGGGGTTCTCCTGAGACGCCCCTTGAAAGGTCAGCAAGTGGAATCGTGCTGCTGACCCCAATACTTCCAAGTGCCTCAGATGCAGCTCGTGTAGCTCGCGCGTAGCTCGCAGGGTGCTGCTGAAGTGGTATGAATAGGTCATGTTTTTTTTTGGTGGTTTTTACAAAAAAATAAGAGAGAAGAGTTGAGTATCGTTTTGCTATACCAGCGACTGTTTTGATGATTAATGGCTATTATTTTTTATCAACTACATTCAACTAGTATGTTCACCATTGGCTCATATATCATGTGGTGATTCAAGGCCCCAATATGATCTTAGATGATGTCAGGACGTCCTTTGGGGTTCAGAATTGTTATCAGCCATCGTGATTGGGAAACCCAGTCGTCACTCATCAGTTGTGGATGTTGTAGGGGCCCCACACGTAGAAATGGAACGCTCTTCTGGGATATTGAAGATATTCGCTCTACACAAGTTCGGATCTTCAACGGTTCTATCTATTGGGGTTGCCAGTGACTCATGTGAAAATGTGTGAACTCTTGATGGGCAAAGACTCCCCTTTTGTCTTCCTTTGCAAAGCTCGTTTTCAAGGTTTGCACAGATGGGCCGACAGCTATGACTGGCTTATACTTCGGGCTGCATCCCAAACATCGTTTTTGTGGGTGGTATTTAGATGCATAGTAACATACATGGTTTCAGAGCAAGGTTTCAGAGACGTAAGAGAAAGGTAATAGGTATATATATATATATATATATGTGGTTTTTATATGTTTTTCATAACATTTTATAACGTACTTAGATATATTGTTAGATATATTTTATATGTGTTTTTTTTAATACCACTTTATAACACTTTATAGCGTGCACCATCTAGATTATTCTTAGAACATATTGGGAGTATATGAACGGACGATAAAACGATGCCGCCCGCACATTACGATGTCGCATTCGGGATCCTGGCCTCAGGGATTTGTCAGCTGTCCTGAAGGTGTTTCTTATTGTTTGCCATTTTGAAATATATATTGATATATCTGGGTAAATTATAACGACCTCACTGCGACCTCACTGGAAATCATGGTTTATAAGGGAATCATCCCAAAATGGCCTTAATTCAGGGTAGTGAAATATTATAATTTACCCAGATATATGATAAATGATAAATGGTGATAAATGTATGATAATGTATATTATAATGATAATGTATGATATAATCCTTTCCCCCTCTTACTAAACCTCCCCCAAATAATAAAAACTAGGGTCCATCTCCATTTTTTGAAAAATTCAGGTTGGCCAATTTGACTTTTAATGGATCCCCTTTAGAAAACAAATTAAAAATAAAGCTACCATTTGTATCCATTTGTGGGTTTCGCACCCTAATAATGAAAACTAGTTAACCCCGCGGTGTTTATTATTAGGGTCCGTGAAAATTTTAGTTTTTATATTAGGATTTTTAATTTAATATTAGGGGGAAGCTTCGAAATCCAAGTTTTGGCAATATTTTAATTGGGTTATAAAAGGAAATTGAATTGATCTTGAAATCGAAAAAAAAACAAAGTGTTTTTGATTAAGGGTTTAAATTTATTAATGGGATCCGCTTCAAAATCCAATTTTTTGCAATAGTTTAATTGCATTATAAAAGGAAATTCAATTGATTTTGAAATCGACAAAAAAATGATTAAGGGTTTAGATTTATTAATAGGATCCGCTTCAAAATCCAATTTTTGGCAATATGTTAATTGCATTATAAAAGGAAACTTAATTGATTTTGAAATCGAAAAAAATGATTTTTTAATTAAGGGTTTAAATTTCTTAATAGGATCCGCTTCGAAATCCAATTTTTGGCAATATTTTAATTGCGGTATAAAAGGAAATTCAAATGATTTTGAAATTGAAAAAAATAGTGTCTATTCAGGTTTTAAATTTATTAACAAGATCCGCTTCGAAATCCAATTTTTGGCAATGTTTTCATTGCGTTATAAAAGGAAATTTAATTGATTTTGAATTGGAAAAACAAAATGTTAAGGTTTTAAATTCATTATTAGGGTTCCCTAAGCATAAATCCCCCCCTAATAATAAAAACTACCTGAGGTGTTTATTATGTGGGGGGGCGTTTAGTATTAGGGGGAAGGGATTATATATATATATACTTGTATATACTTCTACGAACCTCAGCAGAAAAAAATACATTTTTTTGGTGACACGGCTGTCATGGGCCAAGGCTGACCTCCTTTGGTTTTTGTGACTTCGAGGACAGCGAGACGTGCCGAGAATCAGACATGATTCACGGCCAACATGGATTGGTGGTGCCAAATGACGATTAAATAATATGAATATATTGCCATTGGTTTATTATAGTATGATTTAGTATGATTTAGTACAACATTTTTTGTACTCAAAGATGTTTGACACCCTGAAACCAAGCAATTCATCATATGTTAAACGTTTGCTTTATCTGACTGAGCAACGCCACAGGAGCCGCAGGCGGTCTGGCGAGCATTAGAATTCTTGCATGAGAAGCAGCTTTGCGACTCGGCGAAAGCGATAGGATGCTGTGGCACACTTGAGTCAATGAACATGTCAATCTTCACTCTAGTAGTATCATGTAGCAATATGTAGTGCCAACCCCCAAAAACGTTGGTGTAGAGCTGTTTGTAAACGGAAAAGGAATCCCGCTCGCTTGTGAAAAAAAGGTATGTTCAGATTATGTTCAGCAAAGAAGCAGCTGCCACACCAGACCGCAGCCAGGTGAGAAGAAGCTGTTAGTGAAGTGCGAGGTGTATTCTGGGTGGTTTCGCATCGTTTAAAGATGGATAACAAATTGTATGCAAGACATTTGTAGGTTAACCTCCATAAAATATCATAAAATCAGGAGGCTGCAGCCAAAACCGCCACCTTTTCGGCATTTACAGATATTTACAGTATTTGTTCAACAAAGATCTTCATGATTTGCAGAAAATGCCCTTGGAGCTGGGGATTTTCCATGATTGACTTTCACAAAGAAGGAAACAGATCATGGTCTTTTTCGCTCCTACGTTCTGGGCTTGGTTTGATCACTTTGGAACCCAGAAAATACCCTCCGGTAAACTAACATAGCCATTGAACATGGCCATTTATAGTGGATTTTCCCATTGAAAATGGTGATTTTCCATGGTTATGTTAGTTTACCAGTGGGTACATGAAAAATTGCCATTGTGTTTTTCTGGCAGAGAGAAATGTCCTGCATGCGTTTCATCCAGGGACTTCTGGAAACTCAGTGCCCATTTAGTTCGATGAATTGCTGCACCTAGTAAGTTTCTTTTGCAAACGAGGGTGTCCCCATCAAAAATCCCATTAAATCACCATTGTATCCCAATGTATCCCATTGAAAACATCATGTTTACTAAATCATTTGAAAACTGGCTATCTGCATCAAAGTACCCGGCAGCTGCGTTTGTTCACTCCCCACAGGGCATGAAGTGGATGCAGAAGGATGAAAAAGGGGTTGGCTACCGAAGGGTATTCCGAAAAGAAAAATAACGTAAAAATACCCAATAATTAAACGGTCATCAATGTGTTCTAATTAATTTGAACTTATATAAACATATATATATATATAAACAATCCATGCTCCATCATTTTCCCAACAGTCAACACCCATTACATCCCATTACGTCCCATTAGATCACCATTAAATCACCATTAAATCACCATTAAACATATCCCTTGTTCATCCTTTTTCCTGGTTCAAACCCTCATTTTTTCATGGCTTCAATCAGTTTCTTCTCACCATTACCGTTTCTAGGAGAAGGCCAAGCAGACCATCGATGCTTGGAAGGCGACGGGTCGAGAAAAGGTTGCATAAAAAATTAGCCTTTAAGAACTGGATACTTTGAAAGTCAGCTAAAACCAAAAATGATATAAATAATACAGAAATATGTTGTTTTATTCATGTGTTTTTTTCAATGAGTTCACTATGTTGGATTGAAGTTTAAGAACTGGAGATAGTATAATATGGTAACCACTGAAAGAGAAAAGTAAAATCCCGCTAAAACAATTCTAATGAACTGAACCTGGTCATACCTGTTCTATTTTTTTTGTGGTGTGCTATGTACTGTATGTTACAAACCATTTTACATAGATACAACATTGTATAAACCCAACTGATGTTCATTGATAACGGCATATGGGTCAAGATAATCTGGTACTGTACCTTGCTCACATCGTAAATCGATTCAATAGAGTGGATGGAATCAGAACAAACCATTTGGGGAGGTTCACCTCATTTCGGAGTTTAAAGTTTTGACCCACTTGGTCGGGTTGGTTATAGGGGTTTAAAAAAAAACCCAACGTGTGGGGGTTATTATGGTGATATCATGTGATATCCAAGAAAATAATCTCAGCTGCACCCCCAAGTATATCCCATCATAATAATTCATCCTATTTCATTATCAATCCATAGATATCCTATGCATAGTCCAGTTCTATACTCCTTTTCAATATCCCCAGGAGCTCATCATATTGCATGTATAATCCTTTATATGCTATTCACAGGAACCATGTTCCATTCATATATTCATATATCATAGAGGATTATCAATGGAATATGAACTGCATCTAAAGGATTATCTGGTTGGTGGTTTGGAACATGTTTTTTTGTTCCATATATTGGCTATATTGGGAATCATAATCCCAACTGACTAATATTCTTCAGAGGGGTTGAAACCACCAACCAGTTATACGTGATCCCATGTGTTGCACAGGAGACGCGGCGGGAGGAGATCCAAAAGAGCAAGTCTTTGGAGGCGAAGTGGAATGTTCTAATGACATGTGGAAGCTTCAAGGAATATCAAGTGCAATCTTATTGTGATTTATAGATGCGTATATATAACATAGACCCGGGCAAGCCGGCGGCGGAAGTTTCCCAAACATAAATGACCTATAGTTCAAAGACACCCTGTCCCGACCGTGTCCTTCCCTCGACACTCCACACCTCACACTGCACACTGCACTCTTCGCACTCCAAACTTCAAACTTCACACTCCACACTTCACACTCCACACTTCTCACTTCTCACTGCTTCCTTCACACTCCAAACCTCACACTTCACACTTCACACTTCACACTGCACACTTCACACTTCACAATCCACACCACACTTCACACTTCACAGTCCACACTTCACACTTCACACTTCACACTTCTCACACTTCGCACTTCGCACTTCACACTTCACACTCCACATTTCACACTTCTCACTTCTCACTGCTTCCTTCACACTCCACTTCACACTTCACACTCCACATTTCACACTTCTCACTTCTCACTGCTTCCTTCACACTCCACTTCACACTTCACACTTCACACTTCACACTTCACACTTCTCACTTCTCACTTCGCACTTCACACTCCACACTTCACAGTCCACACTTCACACTTCTCACTTCTCACTGCTTCCTTCCCACTCCAAACTTCACACTCCAAAACTCACACTTCACACTTCTCACTTCGCACTTCGCACTCCACACTTCACTCACACTTCACTCACACTTCACACTTCACAGTCCACACTTCACACTTCTCACTGCTTCCTTCACACTCCAAACCTCACACTTCACACTTCACACTCCGCTCTTCGCACTCCACACTGCACAGTCCACACTTCACACTTCTCACTTCACACTTCTCACTTCTCACTGCTTCCTTCACACTCCAAACTTCACACTTCTCACTTCGCACTTCACACTCCGCACTTCACAGTCCACACTTCACACTTCTCACTTCTCACTGCTTCCTTCCCACTCCACACTTCACACTCCAAACTTCACACTTCACACTTCTCACTTCGCACTTCACACTTCTCACTGCTTCCTTCACACTCCAAACTTCACACTTCTCACTTCGCACTTCACACTCCACACTTCACAGTCCACACTTCACACTTCTCACTTCTCACTGCTTCCTTCACACTCCAAACTTCACACTTCACACTTCACACTTCACGCTGCGCTCTTCGCACTCCACACTTCACAGTCCACACTTCACACTTCTCACTTCACACTTCTCACTTCTCACTGCTTCCTTCACACTCCAAACTTCACACTTCTCACTTCGCACTTCACACTCCACACTTCACAGTCCACACTTTACACTTCTCACTTCTCACTGCTTCCTTCCCACTCCAAACTTCACACTCCAAACTTCACACTTCACACTTCTCACTTCGCACTTCACACTTCTCACTGCTTCCTTCACACTCCAAACTTCACACTTCTCACTTCGCACTTCACACTCCACACTTCTCACTTCTCACTGCTGCCTTCACACTCCAAACCTCACACTTCACACTTCACACTCACTCTTCGCACTCCAAACTTAAACTTCACACTCCACACTTCACACTTCTCACTTCCCACTGCTTCCTTCACACTGTACACTTCACACTGCACTCTTCACACTCCACACTTCACACTGCACCCTTTGCACTCCAAACTTCACACTCCACACTTCACAGTCCACACTTCTCACTTCTCACTGCTTCCTTCACACTCCAACACTTCACACTTCACACTGCACTCTTCACGCCCCACATTTCACACTACACTCTTCACACTCTACAGTTCATCTCATCTGAGCTCTTCTCACCTTATCCCAGCTCATCTCTTCTCATTTCGTCCCTTCTCATATGTCATCTATTAAGCTTTCATTAATCAATTCCCAGCACTACTACTAATCACTGTCGAACCCTTGATGCACCTACTCCAATACGATTTACGAAGTCCAGTTGCAAAAGACAATAGTATTGCGCATGCAGCCGCGGCACCAAGAAACCTTGACGCAGCCATTACAATGCGATCTGCAGAGACTGAGTTGCAAAACACAATAGAACTACGCACAACGGCGTCGGAAATTGTAGCTCCAAAACCGGATCTCGACGCCAGAGCGAAAAAAAGACGATTTTGAAGCACTTTTTAAAAGAATTTTTAAAAAGAAAATCACTAGCGCCAAAATGGAGAAAATCTACTGACAAATCACTGTCGCAGCCTTCATGCAGCCACTCCAATACGATTTAAAAAGTCCAGCTGCAAAAGACAATAGTATTACCAATGCAGCCACAGCACGAAGCAACCTTGACACAGCCATTTACATTGCGGGAACGATCCTACAGTTGCAAAGCACAATGGAATTCCATTGGCAACTCATCCACCAGCAACACTTGCAATCCCATTTACATTGAGGGAACGATCCTAGAGTTGCAAATCACAATGCAATTCCATCTGCAACTCATCCACCAGCACCACTTGCAACCCCATTTACAATGCGGGAACGATCCTACAGTTGCAAATCACAATGGAATTCTGCCGACCGCACATGCACGAAAAACAGGTGACACCCCATTTACAATGCGGAACCGATCCGAGAATGATCCGCCCATGATCCGACCATGATCCGAGCATGATCCGACCACACACGAGACCGTCTCGCACCCGTCGCACCGCAGAGGTAGATCATCGAGGTTCGGGGACAGACTTTGTATGGAAAAACATAGGGTTTCGTGCATCTGCTATCTCTCAAAAACGCATTTCGTGCGAGACTTCCTTCAAAACTCCATCGGCAACTCATCCACCAGCACCATTTGCAATCCCATTTACATTGCGGGAACGATCCTACAGTTGCAAATCACAATGGAATTCTGTCGACCGCACATAGACGAAACACAGTTGAAACCCCATTTACAATGCGGAACCGATCCGAGACCCATCCGACCATGATCCGACCATGATCCGACCATGATCCGACCATGATCCGACCACACACGAGACCGTCTCGCACCCGTCGCACCGCAGAGGTAGATCATCGAGGTTCGGGGACGGACTTTGTATGGAAAACATAGAATTTCGTGCATCTGCTATCTCTCAAAAACGCATTTCGTGCGAGACTTCCTCCAAAACTCCATCGGCAACTCCTCCACCAGCACCACTTGCAATCCCATTTACAGTGAGGGAACGATCCTAGAGTTGCAAATCACAATGGAATTCCATCGGCAACTCATCCACCAGCACCACTTGCAACCCCATTTACAGTGCGGGAACGATCCTACAGTTGCAAATCACAATGGAATTCTGTCGACCGCGCATGCACGAAAAACACTTGAAACCCCATTTACAATGCGGAACCGATCCGAGAATGATCCGACCATGATCCGAGACCGATCCGACCACACACGAGACCGTCTCGCAACCGTCGCACCGCAGAGGTAGATCATCGAGGTTCGGGGACGGACTTTGTATGGAAAAACATAGGGTTTCGTGCATCTGCTATCTCTCAAAAACGCATTTCGTGCGAGACTTCCTTCAAAACTCCATCGGCAACTCATCCACCAGCACCACTTGCAATCCCATTTGCATTGCGGGAACAATCAATGCCCTAACTAACTCTTTCTTTGACTAACTCTTTCCCTGACGAACTCTTTCTTTGCTAACTCTTTCTTTGACTACCTCATATATCCTGACTAACTCTGTCTTTGACTAACTCTTTCTTTGACTAACGCTTTCTTTGACTAACTCTTTCTCTGACTAACTGTTTCTTTGACTAACTCTTTCTTTGACTAACTCTTTCCCTGACTAACTGTTTCTTTGACTAACTCCTTCTTTGACTAACTCTTTCTTTGACTAACTCTTTCTTTGACTAACTCTTTCCCTGACTAACTGTTTCTTTGACTAACTCTTTCTTTGACTAACTCTTTCTTTGACTAACTCTTTCTTTGACTAACTCTTTCCCTGACGAACTCTTTCTTTGCTAACTCTTTCTTTGACTAACTCTTTCCCTGACTAACTGTTTCTTTGACTCACTCTTTCTTTGACTATCTCTTTCCCTGACTAACTCTTTCTTTGACTAACTCTTTCTTTGACTAACTCTTTCCCTGACTAACTGTTTCTTTGACTAACTCTTTCCCTGACTAACTGTTTCTTTGACTAACTCTTTCTTTGACTAACTCTTTCCCTGGCTAACTGTTTCTTTGACTAACTCTTTCTTTGACTAACTCTTTCTTTGACTAACTTTCCCTGACTAACTGTTTCTTTGACTAACTCTTTCTTTGACTAACTCTTTCTTTGACTAACTCTTTCCCTGACTAACTATTTCTTTGACTAACTCTTTCTTTGACTAACTCTTTCTTTGACTAACTCTTTCTTTGACTAACTCTTTCTCTGACTAACTGTTTCTTTGACTAACTCTTTCTTTGACTAACTCTTTCCCTGACTAACTCTTTCTTTGACTAACTCTTTCTTTGACTAACTGTTTCTTTGACTAACTCTTTCTTTGACTAACTCTTTCCCTGACTAACTCTTTCTTTGACTAACTCTTTCTTTGACTAACTCTTTCTTTGACTAACTGTTTCTTTGACTAACTCTTTCTTTGACTAACTCTTTCTTTGACTAACTCTTTCTTTGACGAACTCTTTCTTTGACGAACTCTTTCTTTGACTAACTGTTTCTTTGACTAACTGTTTCTTTGACTAACTCTTTCTTTGACTAACTGTTTCTTTGACTAACTCTTTCTTTGACTAACTCTTTCTTTGACTAACTCTTTCCCTGACTAACTGTTTCTTTGACTCACTCTTTCTTTGACTAACTCTTTCCCTGACATTCTAAAAGTCCGTAACACGGAAGTTTCTCCCACTAAACTTCCTTTGATAATTATATATATTATTAGTGTATACGAGAAAGATAGTGTATAATATATATAATTAGTGTATAATATATATATGTATATATCGTATATTATATATATTGTATATTATATATACATGTAAATATATATATATATACATGTAAGTATATATATACATGTAAGTATATATATACATGTAAGTATATATATATATACGTATATATATATATATATAAGTATATATATATAATTATATAAGTATATATATATATACAAAGTACCCTACTTGGGGTTTTAATGGGACATTGATGGAATATCAATGGAATAATGGCATATAATGACATATCAGTGGAATATTGGTGGAATATTAATGGACTTTTCATGGAGTGTTAATGACATGTGAAAGGAATGTTCAAGGAATATTTGTGATACTTGGGATCACTGTGTATATAAAGTACCCGAACTACTTCGGGTTTTAATGAGAAAATCATGGCACATACTGGGATATAGTGGAATATGCTGGGTAGATAAGACAAAACTGGTCATTTTCACGTAGCCAACTGGAAAATCAGCATGTTTAATTTATCGGTGAATCATCGTCATCGAACTGCATGGGGGCGGTTTTTTCCATAGCTATGTTGAATAACCAGAGGGCAATAAAATATGAATGATCATTTGATGGGAATAGCATGGAATATGATGGGCAGGCAGTGAAACAAATTTCTTGGCACCGGTTCCGGGTATCATTATTTCCCTGGTTTTTTCTGCAGGGAAATGGAGGTTTACAGCTGGGAAAGTCATTTTTTCGGCTCGGATGTTCCCAGCAAGTCTTAGACTAAGATGTGACGACTTGCTGGAACTCATTGGGAAGTAACTCTTGAGATAGTTTTGTTAAAGCCCAATTTTTTCGAAAACCAACTGGATGAGTAGCACCAAACAGATGGGTAGAGATTGGGTCGATGAAATTTTCTGCGTAGTTTAGCTTAGGGCCAAAGATGTTGTGCCATTTTTATGGGACATATTAATTGACCTAACAAGCTTTCAAAACAGGCTATCCATTGGCCATGCATTGAAGATTGGCCATGAACATCTCTCTCATGGTTTCTGATGGTTTCTCTGAAAATTCTTCATCCCGAGTTCACGGCACCAAAGTGGTGTAAAGTGGGCTATATCCTCTGGTGGCATCAAACATGGCTGGGGAAATCATCAAACTAAATATGGGGAAATTCCAGCACGCCATGTTTGATGACCGGAGGGTGTATATATATAATTATATATATATATTCCATTAATATCCCATCAAACCTCAAGTTATTCCATTAAAATCTCATTAAAATTATATTACGCAAGGGAATATTCACACAGAGATTGATGCCCCTTAGACTTTCCAGGGTAGAACGGCTAAACGATCCTTGGGAATGCTCAATCGGTGCATACTCAAGTGATGGATATTAAATCACAATAAAATCCAATTAAATCACCATAAAATCTCATTCAATCATTATAAAATCCCGTTAAATAATATTAAATCACTATAAATATCCCATTCAATCACTATAAAATCCCATTCAATTAGTACTATAAGATCCCGTTTAATCACTATAAAATCCCATTCCATCACTATAAAATCCCATTCAATCACTATAAAATCCCACTGAAATCTATTTTCAACCCTAGCCCAACAGCAAGGCAAAGCCGTCCGACACCGAACTCTTAGAAGAGTTGCAAAAAGAGAGCGAGGCCAGCCGGCCGTGGCAGATGGGGAAGCATTTTTATAGTGGTTAATCATGGTTAGTAATAGTGGTTAATAATGGTTAACCATTGATGGCTAGGGTTAGGAAAATCCATGAAAATGGCTAGGAATGTAAAAAACATGTGGTTAATTAATAGTGGTTAACCATTAATAGTGGTTATATAGTGATCATATAATAGTGGTTCAATAGTTACGGATAGTGATTAATCATGGCTAGGAATGTAAAAAAAACATTGGGGAACGAACATAGTTGTTTTTTGAAAATCCATGAAAATCCATGGTTAACCAACACTTTAATCATGGCTAGGCATAGTGGTTTATAAATGTTAACCGTTGATAGTGGGAATCATGAATAGTGGTTATGAGTAATAGTGGTTAATCATAGATGTAGAAAATCCATGGTTTGCCTAGAAATGCAGATGGGGAAAATCATTGGGTAACCGTTTACAATTCCATGTGGAAAATCAACCATTTTTTAATAGGTACTTCATCCATTTTGTGGGCAATGATTTCCACATCGAGTTGTAAACATCTACCATAGGGTACCCATCAGAAAAAGAAAAAATAGGATGACTTTAGCCATCAACGATCACTCAAGTATCAATCTAATATCTATCTAATAGCTATCTAAATATCTATGGAATATCTATTGGGATTACTGTAACCCGATGCCAAAAACCTACCATGGGGATGGTTGATTACTTTAACCATCAAGAATTTGGATGTCATGAAAAATAAAGGTAGAGTATGGAATGGATCATTCTTGGGGCCCAAAGGTTGCGTATCCACCAAAGGCTTTTAAAGGATCTGGAGAAATGATGAATTGACCCCAGACACCACCACTAGAGATGCGGGTTCCTTCTTGGGGAACCAAGAATGGCCTCAATTCGGATGACAGAAGGGGCAAACCCAACAGAAAAGTGCGGTTTCATGGGGATTTATCCGACACTTATGGGCACAAATAGGGGGTGAATGCCATGGTCATTCTGGTTTTGGTTTGGGGGTGCGTAGTGGTCGGTAGTGGTATTATTGAAATGATGATTTCATGACCTGTAATCTGTAATTCATTAAGAATGGTCGCGGCGGCTTACAAGGTCTACAAGCCATGATGACCAATATCAATGAAATTTCGAACCCAAAATCTAGGGTCTAGTGTGCAGATGGTCGGCCCAAAAGATGATTGGTTCAGCAGATGAGTTCAGACAGAGATCGCCCATCCTATGCCAGGACCTGAAACCTGCTGGGTTGTAGATGTGGTTAGCATGTTTTTAGCAATCTTCATGTATCATCATTTATCTATATGTATCTTAAACCATTGGATCCCAATTATATAATAAATATATCTTGAAATACATGTATATGCCATATATGATATCATATATGCCATGCTATGAATCATATGAATAGTGGGATACACGGATACACTAAATCATAGCCATGGCTTTCTCCAAAATTTGCGACCGCCCAGTCCGTGGCAAAATCCATCGCGACGATGCTCGAGACGAAGAACAAAGATTTCCCGGAGGTACGGGGAGACACCGGGGGAGACCCACAGGGAGCCACATTTTCGCTATGGAAGATTACCGATTACCCACAGGATCCATGGTGCTGGTATATATATGCTAACATTTGGGGTACATATGGGTATATTGATGGTAAATGTTACCATATATAGCAGCACCATGGATCCTATTGAAGATTTTCCAGGATTTTCCCACAAAAAACATGGAAAAATTGCACATAGCTATGTAAAAATCACCGGAGGCTAGTGGTTATGGTTGGTGTGGTTTGCATTGACTGGTTTGTCCTCACGACTGGACCATTTCTTTCACACTTCAGTACACTCATTACCGTAAAATACCTAATATAAATATATTGAATCCGATATTATGGTGGCCCCTAATGTTGGTAGCCTCTGGTAAACGTTTACATAACTATGGAAAGATCCACCATTTTATAGCTGGGTAAATCCACTATTTCAATGGCCATGGCTTCAATAGCAAACTGTTAGTTTACCAGAGGGTAGCACATGTTTGGCAGGAAAGTCATAAATGAAACACGTCCAGCTGGCCGATCCCTCGATCCCTCTGATCTTAGGGCCAGTCTTAGGGCGGCTAGGAGGGATCGGTACGGAGCCATCTCCAGAGCTAGGAGCTACGAGTTCAACTTCACATGTTGATAATGAACAATAGTACCACAGACAATAGTAATAAACATGACAAGAGTACTTCGTAATCTTAGTACGTGGTATAATAGTATATATATATCCCATAGGATCCATGTATGCTATATATGGTAACATTTACCATCAATATACCCCCAATGTTAGCATATATACCATACATGGATCCTATGGGTATATAATTATATATAGTAGTACAATAGTATCATATTGTGATCCTTGTCCTTGCCATGTCGTGGATCGGAGGTGAAGGATGGAGAAGATGCGAAGACCAAAGAGGTGCCTTTTTTTCGCGAGACGCGAGACGCGAGACACGCCGGGATAATAGTTAGTCAATGTATATACTGGTACCCTCTGGTAATTTAACATAGCTATAGAAAATCACCATTTTTAATGGGAAAATCCACTATAAATGACCATTTTCAATAGCTATGTTAGTTTACCAGAGGGTATATCCTATGGTATCTATGATGGTTATAACTATGTAATCATGGTATTTTTTCATGGCATATCCTATGGTATCAATGGTATCTATGGTAGCCAATAGAATGGATTATGAGAATCCCCAAGATGGGTGAATCATAGAATTGGATGATGGGAAAATTTACTGCTTTAAGCCCTATCTTTGGTAAAAACCCTGGTTTCCTGTAGATTTTCCCCAACAAACCAATCCAATGAGTGAATCCATGGTGGGAATCCATGGTAACCAACCAGTATCCAAATGGAAGGGTCCAATCCATACGCCGAATTAAAACCCCCATATATGCATTTACATACACATGCACATATACATATATATATACATACAATCATATAAACATACATATAGACATATATATATCCATATTTTGATCATGTTTTTGTTCATCAGTAATTGTCTATTCGCCAGAAAGTGCGATGCTCAGGAGGAGGAAAAGGCTGCAAAGGAAGCTTTAGAGAAGGCTTTGCTGTCGCTTGAGTAATGGTTTGATGCTTTCAACTGTTTCAAGAACGGGTGTGCTTTTGCAGATTATATACACATCTTACTATAATACATATATACATACTATACATGGAAGATATGTTCTAAAACTTCTGTAAAGCTTATTGTGTATACATATTAACGACGTAAACTATGTGACTATCTAAATGTCAGCCCAATGTTTGATCATGGCACATCTAAGAAAATGCGCAGCACTGTGCGCTTAGAAAAAGTGGGGCCCAAGCTTGGCGTGTTCAAGCCACACAGTAGATGATCTGGTTGGTGGTTTCAAACATTACTTTTATTTTCCATAATATATGGCATGGCATCCTTCCCATTGACGAACTCCATCATTTTTTCAAATGGGTTAAGTCACCACCAACCAGTGATGTTTGGCCCCCCATTTGTTGTGGTGATCCTTCAGTGAAGTGGATGAGGGGTATGGAATGTCACCCAGGAGAAGCAGAACAAAGAAGCGGCTCAAGCCGAAAAAAAGGCGCACTAAATTAGCGCGCAAAAATGGTGGCGAGTTAGGCTAATTTGGTTATGAAAAGGTTCACTGGTACGAAAATCTTACCAGGAAACTAGGGCCTAGGTAGATACATCTGTAGTTAGATGGGTTTATAAACCGCAAATCATTTCGGTTGGAGTCTGAAAATCACCAATTTCTTGGTTCGAAGCTATTCTTCCAACCCCCAACAATGTTGGCAGGGTTTGTCCGTGCTGGGTGGTTTGTGACACCTTGGTTTTGGTCATTTTAGACGATGAACTTGGAGGACGGTGGAGAAAAGGAGAAAGAAAAGGAGAAAGAAAAGGAGAAAGAGGAGGAAAAGGACAAGGAAAAAGAAAGAGAAGAGCGAGTGCCAGTCTCAGACACATTTTTTTATTCAGTCCATGATGTTATTCAGTCCATGATGTGACTGAACATCGATGTTTCATTGGAAATGGTAACGTGACCATTTCCGGGAAAGAACTGTTCACCTTTTGGTGATGGTAAGAAATCATACCCTGTCGAACCACTCAGGGCCGGTCAGAGGCCGAGAGGAAGAGAAAGCGGGATGAAGAACGAGAGGAGATGAACCAATGCCGAAAAAGTTGAACACCCGGAAATGATGATGGCAAATATCATCTAACCAAAATCATGGAAACACTGTTCTATTTGTTTGTATCTGTTTGTTTTAATTACAGTAGTTTAGCCGTGTTGGAGTAGATTTGCTCCAAAATTTGACAGTGAAATAATGTGAATCACCATGTTCCTCACTATTTGATGGAAAAACAAAAAAAATGGACATTGTGCATCCGAAAAATGCCCTGGTTGCCCAATTTTCAGACCCATTGAAGGGCAAAGATCTTAGGGAAAAAAAAGAAATGACATCATGACATGTCAGGTTTTTCTGAAAATATGGTCTACCAGTCTACCCCTTAATTTCTCTGATTCATCAGTACTTCCAGACTCGGAATCAAACGGCAAGCCATGCTACGTTTCTCCACCCGCGCGGTGGATGTGAGGAGCGAGAAAAGGCCGTCTCTCGACACTACCGCGCAAGTCGAAGAGAACGGGACCGTGGCTGGCTGGGCAGCTGGTTACAGATGAAGAAAGCTCCCAGAAAAGGATGGAAATCTGGATATGATGAAAACATCATCTCTAGCCTGGAAACACTTTTCGATTTTTTTGGTGATCTACAATGTCCAGCTCGTTCAGCAATCTGGAGCATGTCCACTTGCGTTCTATCTCGGAACCCCGAAATGATCCCGAAAGAATGCAACAGATGTGTTTTCATAGGTGTTATCTGAACTTATAGAATATGTATGAATATGTTATAAGCCCATCTTTGGTTCTTTGTGAAGTTCTACCATGTGTCCCTCAATTGAGGGATTTTGTCGATATCACTGACTTATCTCATGTGACATCTCTTGCTTTGTTCAGTGGCGAAAACTGGCACCCTGATTGTTGACAAAGTGGCAACGTTTGAAACCGTGTGTTTTAAAGGCTACCCTCTGGTTATTTAACATAGCCATGGTATAGATGACCTATAGAAATAGATGAATAGCATGGTGATTTTCCATTGCAAACTGTTAGTCATAACCAGATGGTAAGTTTTGAAACACATCGCTGCAACCCTGTTGGGTTTCTCCATGCTGATCCTGCAGATATCCGATATTGACATGCTCAAATCCCGCTAGCAGGGCAAATGCGTTTTTTTTAAACTTTCCACAACAATAAACCCTAAGGCCTGAAACCCTAAAATCCTAAAGCCTAAAACCTTAATGAAAAACCTAGCCTGAACCCTAAATCCTGAAACCAGTGTTTTCGTTCATCCTCTTGTGACCAAAGTATATGATACTGTTGTGTGGATATGGAGAAACGTCCGGGTTGGGAAAAAAACATGTAAAACTCTCATGTTGCAGAACGAAATGGTTGGAATTTCAATCATCCCCAAATGCCATAAACATCCATAAACCATCCCCAAGTCATCACCATGTTTTATGGTTGGAATTTCAACCATCCCCAAAAGATATACTTTCATTTTATGGTGTTTACGACTTGCTCCACTAACTTGCATTTCATAGATATTAGATAGATATTAGATATGGTATTAGATATGATATTAGATATGATATTGGATAGATATTAGATATGATATTAGATATTTACCCATGGATACTTTAGTGATAAAAAAAAACCACCCATCGGTGATCCGTTCAGGATCGCGAGCATCGGGTCCGAGACCGAGAGCGAGATATCGAGAAGGACCGATGACCGAAGCATTCGGAATGATGGGAATTGGATAGGGGTACTCTCTGGTAAATTAACATAGACCCTGGCAAATAGGACTTGGAAGATTAGTTTCCATTAAAAATGGGTTATTGTCAGGTTCTATGTTTATTTACCAGAGGGTAACATGGGGTACCCTCTGGTAAACTAACGTTCCACTATGGAAAGATCCACCACGCTATTTAGCTGGGTAAATCTGCAAAATCCACAAAAAAAATCACCATTGGACCAATAGCGAAAGGATGGGTAACTATCCCAACATAACCGAAGTATTCAGGTCAGTTTTCATTCATAAAACTATTCATTTCCCCAGCATTTCTTCAGGAGTTTGATGGATTGGTTGATGGATGTTGATGGAGGTCCCAAATCTTGAAGAAGTCCAAAGCCATGGGTCCAGGTGAAAAGTTGATGTCCGTTGGACGTCCCTAGTGGACACAATTGACACAATCGCACGTGATTTTTTTTCAGATTGGCCAAACAGACGCCAAGAATTTGCCATTTCCCAAAAAAATGTCACAACAAATCCCATATATACTCCATGCTGCTGGAAGATTTACCAACATTTAGCCCATAAATCACCCAGTTTTGTAGGTAAATATACTGTACATGGAGCATTTGGGAAATGAACCTTAATTTCAATCCCTACTAAATATAACTGGTTGGTGGTTTGGAACATTTTTGATTTTCCATAATCTATGGGATGATCCTTCCCATTGACGAACTCATGTTTTTTCAAGGTGGTTAAAAGCACCAACCAGATAAAATCCCGATAACATCCCAACAAAATGACTCCAAAAAGTCCTTTCATCGGCCAGGAGTATAGTTATCGCCTACGTGAGTTTGAACGTAGCGAGGACGCTGAAAGTTGGCGCGGTGAGTCAACTTTCCCATCCAGAAATGGTGGCCATCTTATGACAAGTAAATTCTCAATGAATAATACTATATATTAATATCAAGATACAACATAGACACATATATTTGTACATATTTCATGATATTTATACATGACCATGATATTATATATTATCTATATATACTTTATATTTTATTCATATTTATATTGATACAACATAGATACATGACATATATTGTATATATATATATATTTGATTCATTGATTCCTCTCCTAGTGATAAATACCCCCTCAGATACCCTGGTCTAGTATTAGATCTCTTATTTGTTTCGGGTAGGAATTGGGTAGGATGGACTCATTAATTGAACCCGCCAACCAGTTAGGAACAACCCATGACCGGTTTGTTTCAAAAATCTACAGGAACAATCTGGAAAAACCCATGGAAAAACCAACAAAAATTTTGGATTTTGCCCAGGATTTCCTGGAAATTTTAGATTGTTGTAGGTTTTTTCCCATTTTTGGAAACCCCCCAAAAGATAGAACCAAAATCCTAGTAAAATAGAGACGTTTCTATCTGGAAAACCCATCAACCAGCCCCCATTGATGGGTCCATCTTCCAACCCCACGCGTTTGTCGCTAGGACAAACGGATCCGAAACTTGAAGCAGGACTTCCGAGATTTGGAGCTCCTTGGATATCCTTGGATCATAGCGACCCATTTTTGGGGGCGACCATCAAAAACCACACATGTTTGTTCCGAGTTGAGGTTCGATGTTGTTTCCGATGGTTTTTTTTTCGAAAAAAAAAACACGTTGTAAATCCCATGTCTGATCCATCCAATAAGGGGGATGTCTTTTGGGATAACCTTGAGGCCTGCATCCGAAGCCACGGATCGAGAAAAGCCCGGGGCTCAACCAGGGTGGAGAATGACCTCTAAGACCTCTCTGAGAGTGAACAGATTTAAGTCTGAAACATATCGAAAAATAGGCTACCCCAAATTTTCATGGTTGATCAAACAACTAAGTTGTTTGGGCGGTTAGTAACGGTTAGATAAAAAAAGGGCATCGGGCATCCCATGTTTTTCGGACATGATCTAACATGCAACACTGGATGTGGCAGCAGAAATGTCTCAAATTGACCCTTGGTTTGGTAGGTAGAAATGCCTATTTGTGTACCTTACATGAGAGAAACCAAGACCTATAGAAATCACACTCGCCTTTTGTGAAAACTGCACGACGTACAAACCGTTCGACTGTCGAATAGGTCGTTTCCCCATGACTGTTGACCACGGCCTCAAATAGAAAGATGGTTTGCACAGTGGGAAAACTTGGGAACTTGCTGTACTTCACTTTGCGGTGTGTTTCTGAATTTGAACCCGCAAAGAACTGAGGATTTGTGAAAAGGTGGTGAAAAGTTGGTGAAATGAACAACTTCACCCATAATGTCATAATATTCCCTTCCCCCTATATAATGCTAAATACCTAGCAATCGAAACCCTGCTTTAGTATTAATTACTGTAGATGTATTCATGTTTTGGAAGCCAAAACTTGGGTATGTCATATCAGGGTGATGCCATTGTTCGCAGTATGAATGTGTTGTTTCTCGGATCCAGTATCCTTTGCCTTCATTGAATCATTGAAGAATCATCAACAATCTGGGACCGGTGGTGAATGGAGGGAACGGTGATCCGGGATATGGCTATCCGGGCTATCCCAAATAAAAGATATGCAGTTTTTCAGCGACGAGTCAAATCTCCCAACCACAGTGTATCAGGTATCAATCTATACCCTCTGGTTATTTAACATAGCCATGAAAAATGGCCCATTTATAGATGGTTTACCTATTAAAAATGGTGATTTCCATGGCTATGTGAGTCATAACCAGATGGTAATCATAATCTATGCACTTTGCCATTTTGATTTTGATAGGACTATGCACGTCTCACGGGTTTTTACTTGCGATGTTCGGACTGATGCAGATCATCCACCTGTGGAAAAAAGTCATCCACCACGGCAGATGTCGATGTTTCATTGTACGCAGCCCTCCAGTAAAATCCAGTAAACACAAGAGTATAAAAGGGTCGAAACACCAAAGTCCAGGTGATTGTGGTTGCTGAATGTTGTATATTTACTTGTTTCTTGCTTCAGATGTCATATTAATGGTGGTTGAATGTATGGTAGCCCTTTGGGAGGGTTCTTCACATGACGAGCTCCATGAACAAGGATGACGACCCGTGTAGAGGGCATGGGTCGATGACTCGATGAGGCCCATGTTTTTTCAATACATTTCAAGCCTGAACGCATCTGCCAGTACTTATACCATCTGGTTATGACTCACATAGCCATGGAAAATCACCATTTTTAATAGGTAAACCATCTATAAATAGGCCATTTTCCATGGCTATGTTAAATAACCAGAGGGTAGAGTCTGATAGAAACCCACCATTTGCGAAAATAGTAATAATATTGGTGGGTTTCTATAAGATATATATAATATGATATGAACGCCATAATAATATCCCACCATAATCATATGATACATGATAGCATATTCTCTGATATGATTTTGTAGATTAGTTTATCCATCTTCATATCTGGATAGTTTATCCAGCAATAGCAGTAGAACGGTATACCCTCTGGTAATTTAACATAGCTATTGAAAATGGTCATTTATAGTTGATTTTCCCACTAATAATGGTGGTTTTCCATAGCTATGTTAGTTTACCAGAGGGTAACCAACATTCACCAACTAACCAACATCGACCAACCACCAACCTACCAGGCGGAAGTTCGCGGACCGCGACCTGGACTTCCGAGACTCGGATGTCAAGGAATGGAAGCGACGACGCGAGGAGAGTTCTAGGGGGACCGGGGTCTCAAAGGTTCAACGCCGGGGGGGTGAAAGAGACGAAGAGAAAAAGATGTGTGTGGAAAATCCATTGACATTTTGACATATTTTGACTTTAAAGATCAAGTTAAATGAAAATCAAGAAAAATGATGGAAAACAAAGTATCCAAAAAGTGGATTGTGACCTTTTTGAACATGGATTTGTAGGAAATGGGACTTTCGCCAACTGAATCATAAGACATATCCAAAGTATGAACCTGTGTTGGATTGTGTTGTTGTTGCTAGTATATTATTGTATGTCGTATTTTGGTGTTTAATTCTTTCAGAATCTTCTAGACTACAATAGACCCGTTAAAAAAATAGGGATATTGAGTTTGGGGTTCAGGGTTTATTGTGCCATGGACTGGTGACTACAAACTAAGAATTTGGATTTCAGATTTCAGATCCCATAAAAACGAGGATCAAGTCAAAATCAAATGATCCTTGTGATTGAACAGGTCGCAAACCGTTAAACTATCAGAGGATAACTATAGAGAATCGAGGGTTCGATCTTGCACATGGTTGGGCCCTTTCATTGGGGGATTTTTCAGCAGAGATATTGGGAGAAATCCATGAACTTCGTCTCTGGGTAGTACCTGGAGTAGTACCTGTGGTCAACAACTTCAGCCCCGTACAAGTTACATCAAGTTACGTACGACATCATGCCCAAAACATCGACGATTTTAAGGCAAAGAAATGAACTGAAAAAATGTTCGGACTTCAAAATTGATTGTACTCCGCAACGAAAATTCACCCAGATGATTTTCCCATTGAAACCTCCATGGCTAGTTCAGGGATTTCCCAGGCCGTGTTTGATGAAACCGAATAGTACAATGACTGATTGATCGGGAAAAAAAGACCTGGAGAAACGGCTTTTTTTAAGGGTCGGTAGTAGCCACCAATCTACAGTTTTTCGCCAGTAAAAATTGAAGTGGTTACTCGTACCCATAGGATCCATGTATGCTAATTATATATGATAATATGGTAACATTTACCATCAATATACCCCAGTCATGTTAGCATATATACCAGCACCATGGATCCTGTGGGATATAATCTCATATAAATTAGCCTCCTGTAATCAGTTCCATGGAGAACGAAGCCTGCCTCGCCAGGACCGAGAAAAAGATCGGAAACGCGAACAGGAGAAGGATGCCGCGGATCGCGTCGCCCAGAAGGAGGAGGCGGAGCGAAGACCTGCCGAAAAAGAAGGGGTTCACCGGCTTCACCCAGATTTTTGGGGGGAAAGTGATGGAAAATGGATGATTTATGATGATTTATAATTTGGAAGGGTAGAGATGGCTAAAAGCAATAGGACAAATCATAGAAAACGCATGAAATCGCCACTTTGTATGGGTAGATCACTGGAATTATCACAGGTTGTCAGGGAGGTATGGATCGTGGCCAAAAGATAACGGTAACCTCATGCAAGATTAATATATATATATATATAATATGTATATTTATATATAGTCTATATACTGTATATAGTAAACCCCCACCAATACAAACATGTGTAAAAAAAAAATGCCGCTAAAACGAGTGAAAAATTGAAGCCTTTTTGGGGGTTTGTGATTTTTTTCAATACCCAAAGTGTACCAAACCTGAGTTGGCGGCAGGCTGAAGAGGCCAAGAGAAAGAAGAAGGACCTGCGGAGTTGGTCAATGACCAACGATCTGTGGATTTTTATGGATCTGTTGACTAAAGAAAAACGTGAACTTTTATTCGGATTTTGTATGCACGTATTTATGGACTTCTTTTATTTTTGTGTGTTTTATGGGTTTTCTGATAGAATTGGGATACGCAGAAAAAAATGGACATATGGACATGGCTGGTGGTTTCAGCATGTTTCAAGCACGGTCGTTGATTGTCCAGCCAGTTTTTTGGGCATAGGATCCACAGCCAGATCAGTTGAAAATCCGACCACTGGGATGATCAACGGAGCACGGAGGCACCTCAACGAGTCCTACATGTCCACCACGAACCCGCTATAGCATTGGAAATCGGCTGCTGATTGATGCTGCCCCGAACCTTTGAAACATGACTTTTTCAAGGGTCATGCAAATTCGCGGAGTCAAAGCCGATGCCACATGGACAGTAGGATGAACCTCAACACCAGCGATGACGTGAAAAACCCGGGTGCTGGTCGGATTGTGATCCAAGATTCTTCATGGGTCATTAAATGTCCCCATTGAACATCACCCAACCATTAGGTATATGGTCTATAATGGCTACTATAAGGTGATGTCCAATATTCCCAAAATGGGACAGTTACCAACCCCTGCTCTTGGGCTGTCAGGAGGATGAAGAAAGAAAGATCCGAGAGAAGAAGGAAGCCGAAGAACAGGCGGCAACTGATGAGTCAAAAAAGCGCCCAACTTTTAAGACAAACCCATTAATAGATAGAGGTTTCCTAAGTCATGGGGGTACCCCTAAATCATCCATTTATAGAATTTTATAGATGGGATTTGTCATGAAATAAACCAACCATTTTGTTTGGGTACCCCCATGACTTAGGAAACCTCCAGTTATCAGTTATCAGTTCAAGTATGTTCAAGTCAACTTTCTTGGAGCAATGAAACACATGGCAACAATGAACCTCAGATCCATGATTTTCTCAAAATGACCATAAACTGGCGACATAAAACATCACCTGACCCAAGCATCATGTTGGTTACCATGTTGGTTATATCATGATATTCCAGTTGTGGTTGCTATCCAAACGAATGTTTCATGTCTTGAGGTCGACCCATTGGTTTCAAAATCCCAGGCTCGAAAAGAAGCGGAGGAGGCTGAGAGGTGCTGGTGAAAAACCTGCAGCTGTGGCGGGGATTTTCCCCTAGCCATGTTTGAATACCAGATAGTACATCAGGGGGATGCAATTGGGCTTATTCATGAGTGTAAGAATTGGTGTAAGGTACAACCCTATAGGGGCTCAAATTTACCCCATTCACTGGGGACATCACCTTATATACCCTCTGGCAAACTAACATAACTATGGAAAATCACAATTTTTCATGGGAAACATCACTATAAATGGTGATGTTCCATAGTTATGTTAAATTACCAGAGGGTAATTGTGCTGATGCAAAATGTGTATCCATCAAGAGTGCCACTTCCTCTGTATGAAGCCCCATGAAAATTCAACTTGTAGGATAGATGAATTGGTCAGAATGGCTCAAATGAATACTTCTGTGCCATGGTCAAGAGATGAATAATATACCCATATTGGGAGATTTATGATGATTTATGTACCCACTGTAAGGAATCCCATTATGGAACAGATGACCATACCACATTCATCCCATCTACTGAACCCTTCAAGGTTTTTTTGGTCATTTTCCGTTTTGCAAGGTGTGAAAGGTGTGTCCTGTTGCGCAGAGTCCAGATAGATCAGACAATTCGGCAGGAAGAAGCAGGAGGAAGAAAAGAAAAAGCAGGAAGAAGCCGAGAGAAAAGCTCGCGAGGTTGGCGGATGTCGGCGAAGTTTTTTTGCAGAGCCTTTCAGGAGGAGTGTCCTGATCCCTAAATGTGCTATAACGCCGGTTTTTTTTGTGCAAAAATCAGCTGACAGTCCTAGCTATAGTCAGTGTGTGTCAGTGTCCATCCTTTTGGGATCCTGTTTCACCCAAAAATGTCTGGCTTTCCGAGGAGCGGGAGGCGAAGGAGAAGGAAGAAAGAGATGCTAAGGCCCAGGAGCAGAAGAAGCAGCAGCAGGCGGATCCATGTGGTCTAACTGGGTTATTTTTCGGGTTTGGGGCTTCTTTTTGATGAACTTTCACTTGAACATATTTAAATAATTTTAAATATATTTGAGCCATGTCTGGGATGTGATTCTGATGGCAGAAAGAAAATTGTGCTCTAATTAGGCCTCGGTTGTGCAACAGAGGCCTTGATTTTGCAAAGGTCTCAGGTGGTTCCAGTGATGTTCCCCCGTAATCGTTTTATTGAGGCTTAACCTTGCCAGTGGGAAGAGGTTTGGTGGATGTTTGAGATGTTTATTGCGTTTGATCCTGGTAGTCAGTAGTCGGTAGTATAGTCTCCAAACATTTTGATGGGCTTTTTGAAAATAGGCTACCGGCTACCCTAAAAGCCATTGATGAATCAATTGTCCCTATTAGAATTGAAGTTTGGGGAGTATGTGTAGCCATTTTCAGACCGACCCCTATATCCCAGCTGATGTTTATACTTCTGAAATCTAAACCTGCACCTTCGGGTAGTGAATCGACTACGTCCAACTCACCATTTACCAGAGAGTTGCCACCCTATTCTCTTCGGATGGATTTATCATGGTTCACCATTATCCATAGATGATAAAGCGCATCATACCAAATCCACTGAGTCCTTTTTGCTTGTGGGTATGGGTCAAAATCATCAACCCCCAAAAAAAGGATGATTACATATATTTTTATTGACTTTTTTTTTGCATAGACATGTATAATCTCATATGTCAATCACCATCTCCACCCCAAAAACATATTACTAGCTTGTAAATGACCAATTTCAAGTGACTCCGTTAAAACACACCATTTTTTTTTAGAACTGTTTGTTCGAGACAGAAGTTGTGGGGCTTTGTTTCATCGCCATGGACGCCGACACCAAGGATGGCAGATGGCAGCCTCCTTGGGGGTGCAGTTTCAGTGATTTTCACTGGAAAAAACAGCTATTCCCTTGGATTCCCTAGGATTCCCTAGGCTTTTGAATGGTAAAATGACTCATAACATCCCATTATGCCATAAGCAGATGTAGGATTTTTTAGGATCCATAACCATTAATACGTGAATCTATTTCACCGTGATTTTTGGGCACATCCCAACTTCTGCTACTTATGGAGCTTTGAATATTTTGAATCCCATGGGTAAAAAGCAGCCATTACCCCCAACTGCACCTCCAAGCGTGGTGGATGTGCTGAAACCTGGTGGAACAAACTCGAGCGACTCTGGGATCGGAAAGAACTGCGAGCTGATAGGCGACAAATTGTCGAGTCGCAGCTGGAATATTGGATGCCATCGGGGATGATTCACCCAGTTGTTTCCTGATGGAACAGCAATGTTGAGCACTCCGGGAACCCAGGTTTTGACTCTTTGATACTCTTTGGCTATGACTCGTTGCCAGTTTGCCAGTTGGTAGCAGTTGAACAAGGCCGGTCTACACCATTTTTTCATGCAGATGGTCACCCATCGAACGGGGGGCCTATCACAACCTTCCACCCGAGGATGGTTAAAACAACATTAAACAAGCCATGTTTGACAGAAATGGGACTGGTTTTGGGGATCGGGGATTGGGGTATCAACCTAGCATGACACTTGTGACATGTGAGCAGATCATAGTTACATTATGTTACATTACTACGAGCTTCCCGGATTTTGTTCAATCCAAACATGTATTTTAACGGACATGCCGCCATAGAATATCCCCATGACAGCCGACAGCGAAGTCTCCGAATCTTCAGGACGCAGCGGCCAAGTTGCTCCAATCCGTGCAGGCGCACGGTTCATGCGCTGCGCTTTTGTGTAATGGATGGCATCAATTAATTGACGGATGGACAGACAAGCAGATAGATAAAAAAATGATACGAATGATCAAAAGATACTGTATGTGTATAATAATATATATATAATATATAATATAATAATATGCATATATACATATAATCATATATAATATATATATATTACGTGCATGCAGATATATGTCACATGTTTTGATACTTTCGATGATGAAGCAACCGGATCTTCTGCCTCCAAGGTCCCGATTTGGAAGAAAAAGACATGTTTTTTTCCACGGTGCATCCACCAGTGAAGGTACATTCCTGTTGATGATTAGTTTGGGGATTATACTACCCAATAGAAAAATTGGAATCCAATATGATAATATATTACCCCATTTCTATATATATAATAGGGGATTATCATAATCCAATATCGGGGAATCACATGGAATCACTAAAATCGGGCTTGGCGTCGGCCCAGCTTTGTGAGGCCGAAATCATGAGCACGCCAGCGCGGATGCTGAGTGATGCCTGATGTTTTTTCCATCAGCTGAGCTGGATTTCCCAAGCATTCACAGTACTAGTAGAATAGTAGTATATAGTAGTTACGTTTGTAACTTTATAACTGTGCAGCATTCTAGTGATCGTTTTTCAGCTCTTTTTTTTGTGTATATGATATAACAGTTTCGTATAATATGACTAAGAAAACAAAAACATACAAAAACGATCATATAATGTAGAGCTGAAAAAGATATTACAAGATAGAAGATAGAAAAGTACTTCAAACAGTATAGACAAAACTTCCTCCCTTGTGACGCCCAACGGCGAACAGCATCCTGTCATCCTTGAAGCATCTGTCTGGACAGGGGCTTCGTCATGCTTGTTGCCCCACAATTCAGCAGTGTTCAAGACTTATGGTTGGTGATTGTAGGATAAACATGGATAAACATCTATGAAAAATGGATAAAAATGGGATGTAGAAACCACCGTTTTCAACTGGTGCAGGATTTCGCAACCATCCACAGTATGGTGTTTTTTTTCGTACATGGGGTTTAAGCATGAAAAATGCTGGTCTAATATGGCTTTATACTTGCATTTAACCATTCAACATGATGATGATATTATGTTCTATTCATAGGGTCACCATGATTTAACAATATTTAACAGATGTGACCTAAACTAACTATGAGAAGTTGGATTAACCCATCGGGGTTGATCAGTCCATTTTCATAGCTGTCCAGGTCGATGTTGATGGAGCTTGGCCTTGTTGAAGCCCAACATTCAGACCCCGATATTGCGTGGTGTCAGGTTTTAAAGAGATAGAGGCAGGGTTCACACAAACCACCCTCCGGTAAACTACGCTAACATACGATAACTATGGAAACCCACCATTCTTACTAGGTAAATCAACTATCAACGGCCATTTTCAATAGTTTAAACTGTTTACCAGAGAGTAGACATTTCAAAGAATGGGCCAAAAAGTAGCTAGCATCAGGTCCAAGATGCTGCTTCCCCCAGTTCAGTGGTTTGGGGGCCTTGATGGCTCAAGTCTGGGTTTTTGAAAACGGAAAGTCTGTCTAGAAAACACACCCGCATGGCAGCTTAGTTGATGTGCCATGGCTGCACAAAATGTGAGTAGTTTCTACCCTTCTACCCAACAAAACTTGGTATTTGGGGTCACAATGAACCATATCCTCTCGGGTTGATGTAGTTGGTTTCACCATAGTACTGATAGTACTGCAGTTTGGGGTGATGGGGTGAAACTGTCAACCATTTGTGAGCTACTGTATTGGCTTCGATCACTATGGAATCTATGGCAGAATCTATGGAAAATCCCTGTTATGATTTGGGGCCAAAAGGGTTGTGCCCGTCGACATGCCAAAACGACGCCCCGCGATGCCAAAATGTAGGTTGGAACGGAAGAATAGTATATAAATAGTAAAATAAAAAGTGTGCCAGTCGACATGCCAAAACGACGTAAGTGTGCCCGTCGACATGCCAAAACGACGTGCCGCAATGGCAAATGTTTATAATTGACTGAAGTTTTTTATATTGCGGGGTGAATTTTTGACATGTCGACGCGTGGTATCCAAAGTTTAAGGGGTGCTAACCTCAAGACTAAAGTCATTGGAGGCAAGGTAGGCTTGAAGGATATTTCCCACTGACGTACAATGATGTGAGTCACTGGCATGAGTTTCTTCACTTCTGGTTCAACGAGTCCGCCTTAATGTGGGGACCCAATGCCAGACACCGGGACGGGCCTTTGTTTTCTTCTTTTACCCTCTGGTAAACTAACATAGCTATGGAAAATCACTATTCTAATAGGTAAATCAACTATAAATTGGCCATTTTCTATAGCTATGTTAGTTTACCAGAGGGTAACACTTCCATGGTTAGGTTGGACAGCGGGATGGTTAATGTTTGGGGTTTGCCTCTGTTCTCTGGAAACTCTGGATATATAGTCTGCCCATCCATTGCGCAATGGGCCAGGTTTGATAAAGGACATGGCTATACATGGCATCCTATGGCTCAGTAGGAGTTCTTGCAATCCCTTGGGAGGGCCCAAAAGAGCCCGGTAGAAACCGTAGGACCACAGGAATCCACAGGGCTAGCAAGGTCCTGGCGCAGTTTTTGCCTACATAAACAACACGAACTAATATCTAATATATAGGTTTGTCAGAAAAGATGGCCCTCCAAAATCCCATAGCTTAGTTTTTTGTCCCTCAAAATACTATAGATAGAGCAGCGGCCCTCATGTTTCCGTTTTTTTTCGGCGGCATCCTGTTGTTTTTAATTGCTGTGTAGTTCACCCCATTAAGGTAACGTTTAAAAGCGACATTTTTTTGGACTCCTGTTCTTGTTGGTTCAACTTCCTGTTTGTTGATGAAATTGCACAAGTTTTCCTGGTTCACACACATTTTAAACCGAGACTTGGTTAAACAGGACATGTTTGAGAATCAACACAGCAGTTGGAAATCAAGTAAATTGCAGTTTCCTGGCTTACTGTAAGAAATCCTTGAAATCAAACTGTGCCATGTCATGTTGTGCCATATACGTGTTTTGTTGGAAGTCCTCTGTTGGTTCGAAAAAAACCCGATATTTTGGTTCATGGCATCCTCTGTGCTCTTTGACGTCTCTCTTCTTGCTGTTTATATAATTTCCAATGCGTGTTAGTGGTTGTAGGTAAAATCCCTCTTGATTGAAATCCTTTACCCTCTGGTAATTTAACATGGCTATGGAAAACCACTATTTTTTATGGGAAACTCCGCTCTAAATGGCCATTTTCAATAGCTACGTTAAATTACCAGAGGGTACTTGATTTACTTGTTGTTTCTGCTGAACAAATCCCTCTTGTTGCTTGTAGAATCGGCCATTTTTGCTGAACATTGCTGAACACCAACCCAAGTTTCATCAGTAAAAAAACATTGGTGACCTTAGGTGCTTGCGGGGATGCCACCAAAGAGTACAAGAGCGCATGACAGCGAATCCTCCGCTTCGGCGTCGACTTTGACAGGTTGGAAAGATGAATGAAGCCAGATGGGTCTGTGTGATATATAATGTTAGATAGATATATATATATATAATTATACATATATATATAATTATATATATATAATCACATATTAAATATATATATACACATATATATTCCACAATTTCAAAACAAGTGGTTTTGCGTTTACCTGTTTCCCAAGGTATGGAAAATGGCTTCTAGAAGCCAGAACGTGATGTTTCATCGACATTTGGTGCGAGCTTTACTTGGCTAACCAAACATGTTGATATAATCAGCAAAATGGTGATTTAGTCCAAGAAGAGGATTATTTTCGAAACACAAATAGGTAGGTACAAAAAAGCAGCACATGCGTTTTTTCATCACCAATTGGGTCTTTTTTTGCGCAAAACCATGAGAAAACCTATAGATTTCTATGTGGCCACTCTTCAATCAATACGGTGATGACCTCCATCGATGTTGGGTCATCCTGGAGTCGAAGCGAAGATCGCAACATTCCTAGTGTCTTTGGACAATGGTAACAGCATGGCTGATGGATTGAGGAAAGCCCCACATGAGATAGTTATTTAAACAACATGGGATAGTTAGCCAACAAGATGGTAGGGCTATGAATGATACACTGGAGAAGATGAATGTTGGTTGTACATTTTGGGTGGAAACCAACAATCCTGTTGGAGGGTGAGGGAATTTATTTGAAGGTGACAAGACAAAACAATCGGCTTCAGCGGGAGACCTGAGAAACTTCCATTCTTCTGGGCTCACTAGTTTGGTACCCACTCAAAGTGGTACTTGCATATTACAATGACACTTTCTTACAGGATTGGACGATAAGATCAATAAGTCAATAAGTGAACACCTTACAGGACAATTCCATTATTTGGATGTAGCCCTACCCAGAAGTACCCAGGTGTATGCAATGTCAATGGTACTGTAATTCCTCTGGTCAACAGGTGCTGATGGCTCTGGTGTTCATTGGTTTCTGACACTAAGACATCATCAAGCACCGCTGAATCCGCTTAGTCATTAACAATGGGGTGGCATATTCCATTGTCATATTCGAATTTACTTACTGTCAGGATGGGTTCTACGCGTGAACGAGCACCTTGGGGATTCTTTGGCTGACAGTCACAGTGGCAGAGAAACAATAAACACTGGGCCAAGCGAACAATCTGGGCAATCTGGACAATCTGGACAATCTGAGCACTCTGGGCAATCTGGACAATCTGGACAATCTGAGCACTCTGGGCAATCTGGACAACCTGGACAACATGAGCACTCTGGGCAATCTGGACAATCTGGGCAATCTGAGTACTCTGGGGAATGTGGACAATCTGGGCAATCGGAGTTCTCTGGGCAATCTGCACACTCTGGGCAATCTGGTTCGGATGAGGAGAGGACGGTTTCGGATCCTCATCCGCCTCGATCATCCGAATCGACATCAGCTGAGAGCCGACGAGCTGTTCCAGATCCATTCACAGCTGTTCCTCGTCCAGTGGGTCTGCAGCCACCAGCAAGGGATCCCAAGTCTGGGTCTGCCGATCATCGGAATGAGCCCTGTCTCTTCCATTCCTACCAAAGCTGTCTGAAAGGGGATCATTGTGAATATTCACATCTTATCCATGCCGATCAAATCCAGATCCCGGAACCCAAGAGCCGGCGCGGCCACGCCCGCCTTCGCATCAAGCGGCGCTTGGCGCATCGGCTCAGCACCGCAGATCTGTATTTGGTGCATCACGAGCTCCAGGAAGAGGCGTGGAAGGACCCCTACGCCAAGGACTGCGAAAAATCCTTGGAATATGAGATATCATTGGGATAGAATGGGCGGAGATATTTGGATGTGTCAGAAACCAGGGGATTCCCCCCCTTTCATGGCCAATCTGAGGAAAATGAGGTGATGTTCCATTGGCATGGGGAGCACCTCATTTTCAGACAAACCCATGTTATTTCTTACATGGTGCGAACGGTCTTGGTTTGCCTTTGCCCAGAATTTTAAGCATTTCTCTGGAATATGACCTGAAGGGACTGATTGTCAAGAAAAACATGAGATTTTGGGATTTTGGGGTACATACCTATATTTTGGGGCCAAAGTGTGTTTCTATTTTGGGGTTGTCTATTATTATGTATGATTTGTGATAGGCTTCCTAATCGTGTATGCCCATGATGAGGGTGACTTTTTACATCTTTTTACAGACGGGGGTGGCCACAACCGCCCAGTAGAGAGGAAAGAGTTCCAGGATGCTGTGGATGATCTTCAGTTCGGAATTTCCAGGTGTCCAATGTTGCGTAGGCTATGGGTGGGGGGGTGTTCTTGTCAATGAAAACTTGGAAAACATCCGGGAAAACTGGCAAACAAACCGGTGAGGAACTGATCCGAAAGCATCTGAGAGGCGCAGCCAGCAAATCTCATGTTTGGCTTTGAGCTCTTTGAGTCGCCCCAGGGGGGTTGGGAGGCACCAAACAGTGGTGACGCGGCAGATGTCAGCGTTGTCGGGGCGTGCCTTGATGAGAGGTTTGTGGATGAAGTGGAAATGCGGAAATGAATGATAATGATAATGATATAAACATACATATATCACATATGCGCATTTACTCATATTATCTCATGATTTTTGATCTAAATTTGAATATATACATGTACTTATCGTTTTTTTCTAGGGTATGCTTAGACGTTGTTGAACTCTATAATTAAATGAAAAACGGGTCGTGGAATCTTGATTGATAGGAGCTGCGTTTCATGGGTTGAATAGTGCGGATATGTGCGGATCACTTCCGTTACAATTTGAGATTGTCTGATATTGGATTCTTATTTTCCCCATTACTGCAAAACTATTTTATACTTGCCATTTTGAGTGTAAAAAGATGATATGTACCCCATGTTCATACACAGCCATGCAGATTTGGACTCCAATCTCTCTCTACAGTAACAAACATACCCCAGACATGATCAGATTTGTTGACGGGTCTCTATGACGTGCTTTTCCAGACGAACCCTTGCTTCTGAAAATATGATGATTTAGCGCTGGATCAGATCAATAGGTTTAAACCAGAGACTGACAAAGAATGGCTATGTCAAATAAGAAACTCACCTTGAAAGCCCATTGGTGGAGTTCCATGTGATCGTTTTTTTGGGGTGTACACAATACAATATAATCAATATACATTCCTGTACACAAGGGTGCCAATATCTTACCAAAGCGAAATTCAACCTGAATTCACGCCACCAGTTTCAGCCTTCTGCTTGTTTTCAGAGAGATGCGCCTTCAGTTTTGCATGTTTTCACTTCTTCCAGACACCTTGGCTCAGCAGAGCCAGCAGTACTGTCACAAAGCCAGATCGGGTTAAAATGGTAATTATAGTTTTAGTTGATAATAATATGTTTTTAATATATATATATAAGCAATAATTGGTCGATCATGGTTCAAGGCCCCCAAACAAGCAAATGCACATAATTCTACAGGGTACAAAGTCATACAAATTCGAATGCAGTGGTTTTGTGAGTTCGCAAACCCGATTCTTGCAGCTACAGTGGCTTGGTATTGGCATTTATTTCAAGTTGCTCATCGTCTCGAGACACAGTGTCAAAATATGATGTGGCACCTGTAGAAACCTGTAGTTGTCCAGATATGCCCAGATTAAAAAATTCATGGCGAGAAAAAGATAGTTTCTTCATACTTCTTCCAGACACCTTGGCTCAGCAGAGCCAGCAGTACTGTCACAAAGCCAGATCGGGTTCAAGGCCCCCAAACAAGCAAATGCACATAATTCTACAGGGTACAAATTCATACAAATTCGAATGCAGTGGTTTTGTGAGTTCGCAATCCCCATTCTTGCAGCTGCAGTGGCCTGGTATTGGCATCTAGTGGATGATATTCTAGATTGCTCATCGTCTCGAGACACCGTGTCAAAATATGAGGTGGCACCTGTAGAAACTTGTCCAGATCAGTGCTTGAGATGTGATATGTTTTTGTTGATACATTTTGCTTCAGGTGTCAGAAACAAAAAAGGTACTGCTGCAGTTCTATACTGGTTCTATTCTGGTTCTGTTGAAGCTCAAATGGTTTACTTGGCTCGGGTTTCTACATGCCCATGTTCCTGAGTTTCGTTGAATTCAGTGTACCTATACAGGGTCAGTCTCGAGGCTTGTCGAGGAAAACAGGCCCAAGACGAGCGTTCCGTGGAAGAAGATGAAGAAGTAGATGAGTAATGATAAGTGTATTTTAGTCGTTGAATGCACTTCTTATGACGTCTTTTGACATGATGATCTTTTATGGGGATGCGTCACCTCGTCAAACCAAACACTACCGAGTGAAGCCAACATGATTTCTTGCTCAATGATAAAAGTTTTATGGCGAGAAAAAGATAGTTTCTTCATACTTCTTCCAGACACCTTGGCTCAGCAGAGCCAGCGGTACTGTCACAAAGCCAGATCGGGTTAAAATGGTAATTATAGTTTTAGTTCATAAGAATATGTGTTTAATATATATATATATATATATAATTTATATATATATATGCAATAATTGGTCGATCATGGTTCAAGGCCCCCAAACAAGCAAATGCACATAATTCTACAGGGTACAAAGTCATACAAATTCGAATGCAGTGGTTTTGTGAGTTCGCAATCCCGATTCTTGCAGCTGCAGTTTGGCATTTAGTGGATGATATTTCAGATTGCTCATCGTCTCGAGACACCGTGTCAAAATATGAGGTGGCACCTGTAGAAACCTGTCCAGATCAGTGCTTGAGATGTGATATGTTTTTGTTGATACATTTTGCTTCAGGTGTCAGAAACAAAAAAGCTACTGCTGCAGTTCTATACTGGTTCTATTCTGGTTCTGTTGAAGCTCAAATGGTTTACTTGGCTCGGGTTTCTACATGCCCATGTTTCCGAATTTTGTTGAATTCAGTGTATACCTATACACTGTCAGTCTCGAGGCTTGTCGAGGAAAACAGGCCCAAGACGGGCGTTCAGTGGAAGAAGATGAAGTAGATGAGTAATGATGAGGGTATTTTGGTCGTTGAATGCACTTCTTACGACGTCTTCTGACATGATGATCTTTTATGGGGATGCGTCACCTCGTCAAACCAAACACTACCGAGTGAAGCCAACATGATTTCTTGCTCAATGATAAAAGTTTCATGGCGAGAAAAAGATAGTTTCTTCATACTTCTTCCAGACACCTTGGCTCAGCAGAGCCAGCAGTACAGTCACAAAGCCAGATCGGGTTAAAATGGTAATTATAGTTTTAGTTCATAATAATATGTTTTTAATATAGATATATAAGCAATAAGTGGTCGATCATGGTTCAAGGCCCCCAAACAAGCAAATGCACATAATTCTACAGGGTACAAAGTCATACAAATTCGAATGCAGTGGTTTTGTGAGTTCGCAATCCCGATTCTTGCAGCTGCAGTTTGGCATTTAGTGGATGATATTTCAGATTGCTCATCGTCTCGAGACACCGTGTCAAAATATGAGGTGGCACCTGTAGAAACCTGTCCAGATCAGTGCTTGAGATGTGATATGTTTTTGTTGATACATTTTGCTTCAGGTGTCAGAAACAAAAAAGCTACTGCTGCAGTTCTATACTGGTTCTATTCTGGTTCTGTTGAAGCTCAAATGGTTTACTTGGCTCGGGTTTTTACATGCCCATGTTCCTGAGTTTCGTTGAATTCAGTGTACCTATACAGGGTCAGTCTCGAGGCTTGTCGAGGAAAACAGGCCCAAGACGAGCGTTCAGTGGAAGAAGATGAAGAAGTAGGTGAGTAATGATGAGTGTATGTTAGTCGTTGAATGCACTTCTTATGTCATTTTTTGACATGATATTTGTTTTATGGGGATGCGTTTCCTCGTCAAACCAAACACTACCGAGTGAAGCCAACATGATTTCTTGCTCAATGATAAAAGTTTTATGGCGAGAAAAACACAGTTTCGTCATACTTCTTCCAGACACCTTGGCTCAGCAGAGCCAGCAGTACTAAACATGAATAAACGATCCTTAATTCATCAATGTAGTCCGAAATCGCCATACGCGCGCAATGAACCCGGAACTAGCTTCTTAGGCACATCCCAAGATGTCTTCCATGTTGGTTGATTCGTATACTAAAAAACGATGTGAAAAGAAACATGTTATATCAGTCAGTTTCACCCAAATATAGAGTTTCTTCAGTTGTATCTCTCTCTATATATATATATACACTTAATTATACATGATATACATGTGTGCTGTATACATGGCTCTAAATAGCCATATCATGTATAGTATGTATCTAATATATGCCATATGTTTATCTATCTATCTATCTATCTATCTATCTATCTATCTATCTATCTATCTTATCTATCTTATCTATCTTATCTATCTTATCTATCTTATCTATCTTATCTATCTTATCGATCTTATCGATCTTATCGATCTTATCGATCTTATCCATCTTATCCATCTTATCGATCTTATCTATCTTATCTATCTTATCGATCTTATCTATCTTATCCATCTTATCGATCTTATCCATCTTATCGATCTTATCTATCTTATCTATCGTATCTATCTTATCTATCTTATCGATCTTATCGATCTTATCTATCTTATCTATCTTATCTATCTTATCTATCTTATCTATCTTATCTATCTTATCTATCTTATCTATCTTATCTATCTTATCTATCTTATCTATCTTATCTATCTTATCTATCTTATCTATCTTATCTATCTTATCTATCTTATCCATCTTATCTATCGAATCTATCTTATCTATCTTATCTATCTTATCTATCTTATCTATCTTATCTATCTTATCTATCTTATCTATCTTATCTATCTTATCTATCTTATCTATCTTATCTATCTTATCTCTCTTATCTATCTTATCTATCTTATCTATCTTATCTATCTTATCTATCTTATCTATCTTATCTATCTTATCTATCTTATCTATCTTATCTATCTTATCTATCTTATCTATCGTATCTATCTTATCTATCTTATCTATCTTATCTATCGTATCCATCTTATCCATCTTATCCATCTTATCAATCTTATCTATCTTATCTATCTTATCTATATTATCTATCTTATCTATCTTATCTATCTTATCTTATCTTACCTTATCTTACCTTATCTTACCTTATCTTACCTTATCTTACCTTATCTATCTATCTATCTATCTATCTATCTATCTATCTAAGTGATATATATATATACACAATATTATACAATGTATTATGTATATACCCCTAGCCCTAGCATCTCAGCGTCACATCTCGTCACATCTCACTTCATCTCAGGCAACGGCAAAGGCAGCTCCACCCGCCCACGTGCAGGTGACGCCGCTGACGGCCAAGAAGCGGCTGGAGAAATCATGGGGACATCAATAGAAATCCCATAGATGGGATGTAGAAATATAATCTATGGATATGTATGGGATATATATATACTGGTTGGTGGTTTGGAACATGACTTTTATGGCTTTCCATATATTGGGAATGTCATCATCCCAACTGACAAGCATATTTTTCAAAGAGATTGAAACCACCAACCAGTAATCTATGATATCTATGGATATATATGGGATGGATACATATATATACCCATTTATCCACCAATATTGTTGTAATAATTTTAAAGATCGGTATGTACTAGATGATATATTATGTACTAGATGATATATTAGTGGATATGTAATGATACAATCCAATACACATAATCATGGATATCCACAAAAAATGGTTGTAGCAAGCATGCTGTAATACTGTGTATTGGATGTTTATTAGCGGATACAACCAAAATTGTGAGTTGTTACTATATAGTTGTCACATAATAGTACCACGCACAATCGTAATACACAATACTGTATGTGGTTGCTACAATAATACTGTGTAAGATGTTTATTAGTGGATATAGCCATAATCCTTATGAAGCATGTTGTAACATTACATTATGTTTATAATATATAGTGATATATATATATATATTATGGTTCCGATATGTGGTTAGGTTCCTACTCACTTACTAGGATATAAATCCTTAAAAGTTGCTGTACGTCTCGCCTGGTATTTAATTCACCAAGACGTTGCTACTAAACTTGTACCCCCCATGATCTACATCCCAAAAAAAGATCTGTGCTTGGCATCATGGGATAACCATTCAGAATTTTGATGTGAAATCAGCCTGGATTTTGCTCCTGAGGGCTGGTTGAGTCTAGGCCGGTTGCATTATTGCTTGTTTCTTGTTGTCTACAAGATCTACCAAAAGGGTTCACCATCTTTTTAACACAATGACAAACACAACAGAAATCACCAGATGTGTTTCAGACGCGATGCAGGCTAATGTGTAGCACCCAAAAAAAAAGATAGGAAACGTAATCCACCACTATTTGAGGGTCCGTTTATTATTGAAATCTATCTTCATGGGGGTTACCACGCTACAACTTTAACTACAACTATAACTCCAACCATAACTATAGTTATTAAGTATGATTATAACTATATATATATAACGATAGCTATAACAATATCATAACTATCTATACCAATAGTGTCGCTTTATGTCACCTCATGGTATCTCTGCGCAGAGATTTTCCGCGCCACGAGGCGCTGTTCAAAGAGAACGAGGAGCTTGATGCGAACGGTCACTCGGCACGCTCGGCACGCTCGGCACGAGGTGGCCGACCGGGTATACAGCGATACCCTCTGGTAAACGTTTACATGGCAGTGTGTCAAAACCAAGGTTACCCCTGTAGTTCACATCAAAATAGCTGGTAAATGGATGTTCATCCCACTAAAAATGGTACTTATAGGTATTGATCCATACCCATGTTGCGTAAATTATAACGACCTCACTGCGACCTCACTGGAAATCATGGTTAGTGTTAGGGAAATCATCCCCAAGCCGCAAGATTCAGGTTGGTGAAATATGATAATTTACCCAGATAACTATTGAACATCCACCCATTTTAAGAAAGGTAAATCAACTATTTCAACGGGTTATTTTCCAGTTCGCAAAGTGTCAGTTTACCAGAGGGTAATATATCATAGGGGAACGGTACATTAGATCATAACTGGGGATTTTTCATAGGAGTAATAATGGGATAATTATATACATTGGATACTAATGGGAATAAGAATGGGAACAACTGGGGATAATTGGAATGATCATGAGGATATTTCTACGGGGATGTAATTATTTCACGGGGATCCATTAATGATTATCCCGGTGGTGGGGATAGGTTTCTGAAATGGGATACTAATGGTGATATGTTTTGGGGATATACAGTAATGGAATATTTCTAGCATTATATTAAGCCAACAAAAATGGATGAATTATGATCTGGATAAGTTTAATACAGTAACGTTCTGAAGAACGTTCTTAGTACATTTACAGTTTTCCATAGTCGTGGGGTATCCCCAAGAGCTGTTCGTTGGTTTATTTCATGGAAAATCCAAAGCAAAAATGGATGATTTGGGGTACACCCCATGACTTGGGAAACCTCCAAATGGCAGTTTTCTCAGGAAAAGTGGGGATTTAGTCATTAAAGCATATTAAAGCACCCAGGTTTCTCATGAAAAGTTGGGATAAAAGTGGGGAATCATGTGAATTATTACTGTAAAGCAGCAAGCAGGTTTCAATAGTGTCTTGTGTAATCTTGGCGAATGGTGAATCGTTGGCAGCGACGTCCTCATGGGGTCTTTACCGGTTCCAGCGGTTCTTCTGCGATGCAGATCGATTTGACAACAGGACATGATTATCTAGCTCAATCTTACATGGATACTTTAATCCTTTAGTCTTTTGGTATTAATGGGAAAGCCGCCTGGTCCGAGCCTACACGGGGCGCGTGCCGTTGTGGGACCTGGCAGTCCCAACCAATCGTGGCCATGAATTTCCACAATTTCGAGGACGCTGGGAAACGAATTCTCAGTTTTGCATCCCAGGAGCGTTTGAGACCATATCGCTGCTTGCGCCGTAAGGTTTGCAATTTCAGACTGAAGGTAGGGAACGTGGTCTCCATGAACGATGCAGGTGTTCTTGTATGTTGTGACATTGAGGATGATGCAGGTCGTCATATGAAACAGGTCTTCATGGATAAGAACCTGATTGATTGTGAGTGCCCCGCCGATGATCGCAAGACAGAAGTCAGAGCTGTTGTTTCCAATGCCCAATGGAAACATGTCATGTCGGTCCATCAAGATTGCATTGTCCTTGGTGCAAAGGTTGAAGATGGTAAAATTTACACGAATCATGCCGAAGCTGCCGTAGTGCCTGTCAGAGCGATTAGTGATATCCCTGAGGATGCTCCAATGCCCATGGGTGAGCTTTTTGCAGGTGGTTTTTCAGGTTGGACGCATGCAGCCGCAGCCATGTGTAGGCTAGGTATCAATGTGAACCATGTTTGGGCCCTGGATAAAGATCCTGTTGCATGCCAGGCGTATGCCATGACTCACCAGCCTGAAGTCCATGTCCGTGGTCCAGTCGAAGCTTCAACTGCAGTTGAGGAAGAACGTGTCGGGGGTAAGTTTCCATCCCTCCTTTTCCAGACGGCAATCCAACATGTGTGGTGGTTGACATTTGCTAGCCTTTTCATGTCCGAAGTGATTGCAATGTCGGCACCTTGTCCGGCATGGTCCTTAGCCGATGCTGCACCGGGACTCATGAGGAATGATGGAATGCTCATTGTAGTTGCCATATTCTACACTGCGATGCTGAGGCCTAGGATTTTTGTTTCCGAAAATGTCTCAAACTTGAAAGCCCATCGTCACTGGAGGTTGATCTCTTGGATCATTGAATGGCTCAATTATAGAGTGCACATGAACCAATCTTTTGATCTCAAGGAAGTCATTCCGCAGGCCAGAGATCGTGTGATTATGGTGTGCGTTGATGCTTTGGACATCGAAATCTCAAGAGTGAACCCAGTCAAGTGGCCAGTGACAAGGAAACACACGTTGCGAACCTATGGGGCCATCTGTGACCTTGACAATGAGTGGCAGCAAAGAGCCAGGCTTGATGATGCAGAACTGAAGATGTATCTCGACCCAGCCAATTTGCCTAAGGAATTCTCAAGAGGCCATGCCAAGAAAACCTCAAGGGATGTTCTTGCGTACAGACTCAAAGACCTTGATTCCGTGGCATCTTGCATCCTCACAAGCTATGGAAGACCAGCTGCATTGAGTGACTCTTTGGTTCGCCGAGGCGGGATTTATGGTTCCCTCATCATGATTGGTCCTGTTGTCAGGAAATTGGTTGCACCCGAATTTGCGATTCTCATGGGATTGATCCACAGACAGTGGATTCCGGAGCCTGAGTACCAATCCACCATGATCTTTGGAAATGCCATTGCTGTTCCCCATGCCCTCATTGGTTTACTGAATGCTGTAGCGGTGGTCAGAGATCCTTGGGTCTTGCAGGGCATCCCTGAAGTGTTTGCAGCCATTTTTCGTGAATCCATGAACGCCTCCAACATTTGCATTCAGCCTGAAGCCGGAGGGTTTTGCATCCGTAGGAAAGATTGTGATGACTCCGATATTCCTGCAACCATTCCGATCTTTGAGTTTGCCAAAATCAAAGTCCGATCGCCCATGCATTCCTTTGAACTTACTGTGGAAGTAGGACTGAATGTCTCAGAGGTGATTGCCAGGCTGACTGCTGAATCTTTTCCAGCTCGTTTGGAAGTTTGTATCGAAGGTGCTGCGGATCTCAAGTTTCCCTTGCCTCAGGGGCTTTGCATGACGGCTCATGACATGGTGATCTCAGCCAATGTGCCAAGCTGCCTCTTGTTGACGGAACAAGGAATCAAGAAGTGTGACTGGCCTTTCATTTTGGTCCTTTTTCCTGATGGAATGTTAGCCGTTCTTAGGCAGGGTGATGCACTGGTAGTGGACGTTTTGGCAGCTGTTCATCAATTTTCTGAAGCCTTGACTGACCCGTTCATCGACTTCATGGGTCGCGGTTTGAATGATGGAGAAACATGTCCAAATGTGGTGTTGCTCTGTGATCCCATGAAAACACTGGAATTTGGAGAGCGCATGCATGTGCTGCCGGTATTTGAGATGTTGGCCGAATCATTCCATGCTGCAATCAAGGTCCGGGAAATTCATGAATTCATCCAATGGATTGAGAGGACAGGAATTCACTCTGTTGTTCTTGCGGTTGGTTGGCACTTCCTGGTTCAGCTTAGCATTGATGAAGATGAAACCCCAAAAGACGTGCTACTGCTCCCTCGTTTTGGAAGACTTGCTGTGCCACCCCAAGCCATTGCCCAGATCATTATTACCAGAGTTTTTCTCAATCAAATCAGCCTCATCTTTGAAAGAGTTGCTGATGATCGGACAGTTCGGGTTTCAATCAAGCTCTGGGATTCTTGGATTTGGGAACGAGATATTGATGAAAACATGACAACTCAATTCATCCTTGATGCTTGGTTGTACGCACATGAAATGTTTGGAAACCGATCCCCATGCAGACTGATTGCTTTTGGTCAACAGATCAACCCTGAATGGCAGATCAAGAACTACGATCAGCGTGATCCCAATGGAAGAAGGATTTTGAAGATCCATGTTATCCTTCAGATTCGTGGAGGGGGGCCTCCAACGCCTCCTCTGCCGTCGAAAAGAGCCATGCCCGATGCTTTTCGCTTTGATGAGTTGAGCGATTTGGAAGATCATCAGCCGTCCAGACTTATCTCGGTTTTACTGCAGAATCTGGTGGAAATGCATGATTTCAACTCTCGGATGGAACTGGGTTACTTGCGTAATGCAGCTTTTCGAACTGACAGTGTGGGTTTCTCCATGATCAGTACAATTCCGACCGTGGTACGATTTCTTAGAGATCTTAATCTCACTGGCATTGAGCTTGTTTTGCAAGCAATTGGATGGCATGCTGTGATGCATTTTGAAGATTGCAGGGACCCACCGACAGTCAAGTTGATGATCATTCCTCGAGCAGGTGTGAAACATCTGGCCATGGAAACCGTCAAGTCCTTTCTTGCCCATGCCATTGCTGCCAAAGCCATGCCTTATCCGCGTATGTCCGCTGAGGGAGTCTGTGTCCGGGTCAAAATGTGTGATTCATGGATTGTTGGTGCAGTCTATCATGCCAAGACCTTGATGGGTGATTTCTGTGATTCCTGGTTCCGTATCACATCCATCTTTGGAGAACCGTCCAACATGCGCTTGGTTTGCCAGAGCAGGTCAGCCAACCCAGACAAAATGCTTGAAGATTATGTTTCGGTTGATGAACATGGCATCCGGTATGTCAAATTTTTTTTGGTGCTTCAGTTGCGGGGTGGGGGACCCAAGAATATGCCTGGTCAACCTGCAATCAAGCAAAAAAATGAGCTGGCCAAACACCTTCTTGAAGTGGGTTGTACGATTGATGACATCTCCATTTTCGTTGACAAGTTGGTCAGTGTGGCAGGCATCCCGGCAATTGCGAATTGTTTGAAGCCCAAAGACCTGGCAACACGAATGTCAAATATTGACAAACTTGCTGCCGCCATGAAGCTCAGTGTACCATCCTCCAAGCCGATTGAGGCCAATATCCGCAAAAACACAGCCAAAAAGGTCAATGCATCGGGACTCAAACAGGAGCATGTATGTGCAGCCAATTTCATGCTTCAGAAAGGTTTCTTCTTTTGTGAAGACGGTTCCGAGGCCAAACCCTGTGAGAACATTAAACATGGTACATGTGGGATTGCTCTAGTTGACCCAGGGGACGCTGCCCCTTGGATCCGCCAAGCTGTTTCCATTACCCAGGACGAACTTGCTTTGCTGGTCCTAGGTCCATGTCCTTTCCCTAGTTCGAACTGCAAGAGGCTTGATGTCCCAGCAATCACTGAACAGCAGGCACCAGTCTTGTTGAGTTGTTGTTTTCATCAGCTGGGGCAGAAGAAAGTTGAATTTCGACGCCCATCTGACATTTCGGTCTCTGTCGAAGAAACCTGTGTCCTTGCGATTACAGTTTTCAAAGATGAAGTGGATCAGGAAGCATGGGATGAGGTAGTTCAGTCCCCAGTCCGAGCGGTGTTTGACATGATCCGATCTTTGTCTGTGCAGATCGAAACCAAGTCGCCTCCCTGGGGTAGAACCTGGAGAGATCAGAGTGGTAAGTGTGCAGCTTCCGTTGCGATGAGCCTGCAGTTCCATGTCCGTGTTGCGAGCACAAAAGTGAGTGATCTCCTGAACATCAGTGGCCTTAGGGGGGTTTACATAGCAGTCAAGACTGAGGAAAAGAAGCCCGATCCTCAGTTTTCAGTTTTATGGTTAGACCTTCCTTTGGCAGATCTCAAAGTTGCAGCTGCATCCAACAAATCGAGTCTTGGCCTTGTGAGAATTTCGAGAGGGTCTGGAGCCAAAATTTCACGTGGCATTCGCTTCAGAACAGATGAGCTGCAGGAGGCCGCCAAACTGCTCAAGCCAGCAGCAGCTCTTCCTGTGTCAATTCAGATCAAGTTCACTGCGAAATTGGCCCCGACGCCCCTTGGTGTTACGTTTGAGACGGTCAAAGAATTGATCGACACAAAGCAATGGAAAGCCCGTCCAATCAAACCCCTTGGAGCCCAAGCTTGGCTTCTTGGCTTCGCTGAGAAAGTCGATGAGAGCTGGATCTCTTGGAATGAAAAAATGTTGTTGCTCACATGGGACATCGAGAAGAAGCAGAAAGAATTGCAGACTGTCTTGGCCGGTCAGCAGAATCTTAAGTTTGTGGCAAAGCATCCCATCAAACTGAACGAAGATGACCCTTGGGCGAGCTACATCAAGAAGAATGGATCGACACCTCTCTCAGTTGCCAATGCAGTCTCCTCCAATCCGGCCGTGCGTGCTTGCGAGGGCCCAATTGAACAGAGGTTCAAGGAGCAGGATGTGAAAATCAATGAGCTGAAGTCGACAGTGAATGACATGAGCAAACGACTGGAATCGGCAGAACAGAGTCGCTCAGATTTCAAAAAGGAGGTTGCTGACCAATTCAATGATGTTCGCGGGCAAGTCAAGAACCAGGTTGACTCTTTGTCGAAACATTTTGATGCAACCCTTGAAAGAGCCATGAGACGCCAGGATTCCCAACTTGAAGGTTCATTTGCAGAACTTAAAGCTCTGATCCTGAACAAGCCCCTGCCAGCCAAGAAAGCCAAGACTGAAAAACCGAAAAGACAAGGTGAGGATGATGACGGGGACGAAGGTCTGTGACTAGACGCTGGAATGGTCTCTGGATTCATGCTTTGCCTCTACAATGTTGCCATGCGTTGCAGCCATGTTCAATCAGTTGGAATGTTCGACGACCTGTCACTCATTTGTAGCATTTTGCTGTGGTACAGGGTAGCAGTCCTTAATTCAAATTTTAGGCATTTTGCTTTGCAACCATTGAAGTCTCGAGTCTTCAACGCAGCATTAGGCTGTATTTTGGATGGGGCTTTTCAATTCCAATTTGCACACCAATGGCATTTTCACGCTTTGGTATGTGGTGTTTTGGGCAAACAACTACCTGCCCTAGCCCATATACATGTTTCCATGTCTTGTCATTCTCATTTGCTAGGTTGTCGTGTTGGTGAGGCGACACATCCGGGACCCTCCAACCGGCAGACAACCTCATTACAGATTTGCGTCCTGAATCCGACGGCACTTCATGGAAAAACCGAGGATGTGCTCGAGATGGGTTCTGATATTTATTTTGTTTCTGAAACAAGTGCAACTGATTATGCCCAAAAACTTCTTTCCAGAGACTACGATAAGGCTGGTTTTAAATGTTTCTGGTCCAGTCCAGCCCCTGACAAGTTTTCCACTGATGATGGGAGGCCCTCTCTCCGGGGTGATGCATTGGGTTGTGCTGTCTTGTCCAAAATTCAGTCCAGATCCTATCGTGGTTCTGTTCGTCCGGCCTTGGTTGAAACCTGTCGTTTTTCGTGTGCCGTTGTTCAACTTGAGAATTTTGAGTTTTTGGCCATCTCAATTTACGGGTTCCCAAGTTCCACCCTTGCTGTCAAACGCCAAAATGATTTGTTGGTAAGTTTGGCCTACCAAGTTGCGGCGGAATCTGGGTTACCTTTTGTCATTGCTGGGGACTTCAACACACCAGTACATGAACTCCCCATTTTCTCAGTCATTTCCGAATCTGGGCATGTTGAAATTTTTTCCTGGTATCAATCTAGAGGGGTTACTTTACCCCCAACATGTCGTGGTGCAACACGAAATGACACTTGCATTATTCACCGCGCATTGGCTCAGCGAGTTCAGGATGTTAATGTATTGTGCAACCCAGCCTTTGATGCACATTCCCCTATGGTGGTTTCTTTTGACTTGAAGGCACAGGTGTGTCCTAGTATTCCATGGAGGGTTCCGCATTCGTGGGCTGATTTTGATGTCCAACCTGAAAACTTGGACCAATTGTACAGATGTGCATCCGTTGACATCCACCATTCCATTGCTGCCATTGACTCAGCCGAAAAGGGTGATGAAGCCCTGTTAGACTGGTCACGATGTGTTGAGAGTGCTGTGGATAGGTCGTTGCAACTCCAGCATGCAATGGATCCAATTCGACATCCGACCAAATGCCTTCCTGATTTTGCCAAGGGTCGATGTAAAGGACTTAGGCTGCGTTCAAATCAGAGTAATGCAGTTAAAAATGATAAATTTGGGGGGTATAATCCGTCTGGTGAAATTTTTAAAGTCCAGAACAAGATGAAGATCAAGCAAGTTAGAAGAATCAAGTCCTTGATTCGCACCTTGGAAGCCTTCCAAAAGCGTTGCCCTAATGGAGATGTTTACTCAGATCCATTGCTGTCCAAGCAACTTCAAGGTGAATGGGACAAAATATGTAAAGCCAAGGGTTTTGGTTCCTCGTGGAGGAGTTGGGTTCTTTCCTTTGAAGCCTTTGCCGTAGTGCCGCTCTGCGTTCCGACCCTTGATATGCTTTACGAATTTGACCAATTAACTGTTTTTGCATGTGAAGCCTCGTGCAACCAAGAAGCGATGTTGAGACGTAAGCATTTCCAATCCCGTATTGCTGTGGACAGTACTGATTCTTTTGGATCTATGTCCTACCGTATCATTAAAGCCAAAGATTCAAGGAAACTATCTGAGGTACCTTTTGAGAAGATTGCTCAAGTTTCCATGTTGCGTACGAACAAAAACAAACCAAGTTTTAAAGTTTTGGAGCCGGTAATTTTCCTTGAAGGCCAACCGGCCATGCTGGATGAGACTGAGGTATTTGTGACATCCTCGTCAGAAGGTTATGTTGGTCTGTCGGTAAATCAAGGCGTGTTGCCATCCTCTGGAACTCTTCGTCAAAAATTTACTGCCGTGTCTCCTGATCACATTTCTGAGGCTTTCAATAAATTTTGGAAACCCTACTGGCTTAGAGATTCGTATGAATCTCAATTTTGTTGTGATCATTGGGAGGCCTTTCAAAATGAACTTGATAACTGCGACTTTCCTAGGTGGGAAATTAAGGTATCTGTCAACGACCCATCGAGTTGGAAAAGAGCAATTAAGTCCTTAAAAGCTGGGAAGGCAGAGGGTGCCTGTGGATGGAGGTATCAGGAGTTCCATCAGTTGCCTGACCTTGCCGTGGAACATCTGGCCAAGATTTTCTCCAAACTGTTGGAAATTCGGCTTAACAGCTAAACTCATGATGGCAAGAGTTTGCTTGTTAGAAAAATGCCAGTTCCCAAAATCTATGGCTGATGCGCGTCCCATTACCATTTTGCCATGTATTTATCGTCTTGCATCTAAGGTTGTTTTCCAGCAGGTCATTGATCGATGGACTCACTTAATGCCTTGCCAAATTTCCGGTGGAATTGCTGGTCGAGGTGTTCGTGACCTTTCAATCATCCAGACAGTAGCTGTGGAAGATGCACTCCGAGAAAAACAATTTTTGTGTGGTACTACAATGGATCTGGCTAAGGCCTTTAATTTAATTCCACGTTTCCCTGCCGCCATCCTTATGTATAGGTTAGGTGTGCCTTGGTGGTGCCTCCAATTTTGGCTCAGATCGTTGTCAAGAATGTCTAGGTCCCCAGTCATTGCCGGTTCACTTGGGTCCCCGATTAATTCAACAACAGGTGTTCCAGAGGGAGATGTTTGGTCCATTTTGGCCATGCTTGCAATCAGTGCCCTATTCTATTACAAAAATTTTTCGCGGCGTATTACCCCCTTTGCTTATGCTGACAATTGGGCTTGGCTATCCCTGACGATCAAAGATAATTTTGATTCTTGGATTAAGACATTGAATCTGGTTGCAGCCCTTCGCATGATCATCTCCATTTCTAAATCATGGCTTTGGACAACCCAGTCCAAATGGAACGAACAGCTGAAATGTGTGAATTTGCTTTTTCCCGATCAGTTGGATTCCATCCCTATCCTTGAACACACAAAGGACCTAGGTGAAATTGTCCAGTATAATAAAGCTTGTTTCACACGTCCATTGCTGGAAAGAGTAGATGAAGCAGTGGCCAGACTTGAAAGACTCAAAAATCTACCGCTGAGCATTGAGCAGAAAGCCATTCGTATTCAAGTTGGGGTTTGGTCGTTTGGGTTGTACGCCGCCGACACCCATTTTGTTGGCATGAAGCATTTTGAACGTTTGAGAAGAGCAGCTGCAAACGCCATGTTGGGAGCGTTTCACCACATCAACCCTTATATTGCCTGCATGTGTCTCTCAAAATTTGTCCTTGACCCATTACTGCACGTGATTGTTGTTGCTTTGCGATCCCTCCGCAGACTGTTCTCGATCAATGAGGTTGTTGCATGGCAGTTTGTTAGGTTAGCATCAACTTTCCAAGCCAAGTGGGCCTATGGCCCGGCCTCATCACTTGCGTGCTATCTTAAAAAGATTGGTTTGGTTATCTCTGAGGATGCCAACATCTTCTCAGAAGATGGACTTCTGTGTAGCATTCGTGACAAGTCTTGCCGTGAAATTAAACTTTGCCTGGTCAACTATTGGCATAAAGCAGCATTTCAGTTTTTTATCCAACGCAAAGGGTGTCCCGAGGACGGTGTTGCGGTCAACCTTCAACTTAATGTTTTCTCGAGGCTTACCGCAACGGAGCAAAAACTAATTGCACTAAATGTTACGGGTGGGTTTCAGACCAATGCAATGAAAGGCAAATGGGATGAAGAAACACTAACCAAGTGTAATCTCTGTGATGAATATGATAGCCGCTCGCATAGGCTTACATCCTGTGAGGCAACCCGTCATGTACGTGAGAATTTCCCACAAGCTATACAGCTTTTGTGTAATGAAAAAGAGGATTGGATTTATCTTCCGCTCTCTACATATCATGACGACTATGTTGTTTTCAGAAGGGTTGTTGAGGCTTTCAAATTACCTGAGGATTTCCCATCCCCTGAAATTTCTCAAAATCATCATGTGTATTTCACTGATGGAGGTTGCACACACCCAACAGTGGCAGAGGCTCGCTTAGCCTCGTGGTCGGTTGTTCGTGACTTTGCCGAAAATCCAGCTCATGCATGTGCGATGACATCCATTGCTGTTCAAACGCAATCCCCATGCCCATTGTTGCGGCCCATCGACATGGGTATGGTAGAAGGCATCCAAACAATATCAAGGGGTGAACTATGTGCTGTTATCATTGCCTGTAAGCATGCACTTAAAGATCACCTCATGACTCAAACTAGTATTTTCACGGATTCTAAGTATGTTGTCAATGTTGTGAAATTCCTTGAATCAGGAGATTTATCTCATCTTGATTATAAAATTGCAAACATTGACCTTGTGCGCAAACTCAAGTCTGTATGGGATGCAAAAAAATTCACCATCAACAAGGTCAAAAGTCATGTTGATTGGTTGTCAGAAGAAAGTCAGCAACCAACACGTTTGAGCATGGGAAATTTTGTGGCAGATAAGATAGCAACTCTTGCTCTCCGCAGATGCCCTAAGTTTCTTTTGTCTATGTCCGATTCTATTGCTGAGCATTCCGTTCAGGAAAAAAAGAAGTTGAAGGAAGTTTTCTCATTCCTTGTCGATTTGAACAAGGAACATAAGAAAATTGAATCTCAATCAAAAGTTGCACAACAACCATCTCAAGCCATTCGTGTGGACCGTAGCTTGATGGGTGATGATGCCATTGCCTTGATGGTATCTTACTCTTTTCAAGGTGGCAGACAAATCTTTCTGAATTCTCTGGATTCACCTGCACTGCGAGGTTCTCTTCAGGGGGTGAACTTGGCGAGATATATTCTTAAGTGGGCCGAGTCACTTACATGGCCCCCTTTGGATATGGATTGGAGAGACGATGTCAATGGACAAACGGTAATGCATTGGGGCATTTCATGGTTTGAACTTTTCATGAATTTCATCATTTGCACCAGCCGTTTTTGCCCGGTCAGAGTTACTGGATCCTTAGGCAAAGTCCAGTATACTACTTACCATTCTGACATGTCGCGCATACTCCCTTCCGATAAACGTAGTGCAATGACCCAAGCCACCTCATTTCAAGCTGCATGTCGTTGCGTTGAGTCCATCCTGAACAAAAAACTTTTTCCTGAGGACATTACAAAAGGAGGTAAATCCATCCATCGGTATGGTTTCACGGGCCAGGTTGCATCCCTAGCCTATCGCCCTCTTTTGACACGACAAAGGGAAACTGTTGAAGCCGTTTACCAATATATAAAGATTGCTCCGGTCAAAAATAAGCTTAGGTTGCCTTTGGATCGTGTCATGACTTTCCAAGATATTGTTCTTGCTGAAGTTGATGAGCCCTCGGATGAGTGTCGCTACAAAAACTACAAGATGATCTACAAGCGTCGCTGCCAGCCATAATTCGTACACCTAATTGGTCGTTTTTTTTATTGCCTTGCATGTGCCCCTTTGTTTCTAATTGAGCGTTTTACCTGCTATTCCGCCAATACGGCTTGGGATAGTTGAGTTCTGCAGTGATGTCGCAGTCCGCACCGTGGTATTAATGGGAATATCTACTAACCAGCAAAGAATTGATTTTTTTGCAGGGTATCTAAGATTGGCAATGTTATCCAGTATAATGTGGTAAACCCAGTTTCATAAACCTATGTGATGGTTTATGAAATTGGGTATAGCACATTAGAGATGTTCTGCCAAATTTTAGTTTCCCGGTGTCATCAAACATGGCTGGATTTGCCAGCCATGTTGGATGACACCGCTACCGTATATCACTTATCCATTAACATTCCCAATAGATTTTTATAGACTATAAAATATTATAAATGATCATTGTTTCCAGTATTCTGGATTCTTTCAGTAAAAAAACACACCCTTCATTTCAACATCTTCATTAAATCCATATTTAACATTTTTTTGTGTGTTTTGAGCATATTAAACACCATATTAATATATATATATATATAATTATTAATGAATGGGGACGTCCCATTCATTAAATCACCCATATGTTCATCCCATTCAACCATCATCACCGTTCCCCTTGGGACGCCCCAACGAGGTCAGCCCCGCAAACACAAGCCCCTGACGCGTCTAGACGGGCCGGCGGAGGAAAGGAAGCTCAGGCGCAGCGTACGCGGCGCAACTGGCGTGGTATAGCCATGGTGTTTTCAAAGCAGTTGGGATCAGTTGGGAGAACTGTGGTGTTTTTTATCCACTTAGAACTGGAACCGCACGACGGCCGTGAAGTAGTTTCGAAGTGGCAACATTCGAAGGCGACTTTTTTCATCCCATGATTTTCCTTAGGAAATGATCCGCTAAAATGGCAGATGTTCATGGATTTTCCGTATCTACAAAAGAATTAAGAAGATAGAAGAGTATATAAAAGTATAGAAAAGTTGGCTGGGATATGGGGAAAGATCACCTTTCCAGGAAACATCAATTTCTATCTTTTTGGGTAAGAGGACAGGTGAACTGATTCGCCAACGTGATCTATGCGTCATGTTGAGAGAATATGTGAGGCTCCTGTGAGGATCCAGAAAGTTATGACGACCCAGCTGGTGGTGACGGATCAACCTTGGGAAATGGATATGGAGCAACCAAAATGAGTAGTTCACCCAGAAAAGAGGAATGAAGATCATCAATCAACGTGTTGATGTTATGAACTTCTTTGTATAGTTTTCCTTCAGATGATAATTTCCATATACGGTTCATATACGACATAGTCATCTCAGCAAAATTCTCACTTCACATCAGTTGGTCGCTACTCAGTCACTATCGTGGTAAGCCCAATGCCATAAACATCCATAGACACCATCCCGCTTACCAGCCATGACCGGAGATGTTTTTACATCATCCCAGTCCTGGGGCCCTAGGGGCATGCCACATTTCATAAGCCTCTATCGTGGATGGTTTATCACATTGGGTTTACCTCATTACTAGGATTTCACCATCAGCTAAATGTTATACTGGGATTCAACTCAACTAAACGATCTGGAATAATTATAGATGAATTATTGGCTTCACCACAGACAAATTGAGATGTATGAACTTAGTTACACCAACATTTTCCAACACCATTTTTAAAAAATCACCATTTTTCAACATCTTTCCCCACGAAAATACCCTCTGGTAAACAAACAGTTTGCTATTGAAAATGGCCATAGAAATAGTTGATTTATCCATTAAAAATGGTGGATCTTTCCATAGCTATGTTAGTTTACCAGAGGGTATCCCATTTTTTCAAGTCCTGGGCTCAGGGATGATGAAATGCGTCGCCTCATTCAGCAGGTGCGTTCGAATGTTCGTTCGTGGCAAACGTTGGAGATGTTTATGATTTTAGTGTGTTATATAATAGTTATACGTATAATTGTTATATAATAGTTATATGAAAGTTATATAATAGTTATATAATAGTTATGTTAGTACTAGTTTTATTATCGTTATATTGTTGTTATATTATACATATATTATACATATATAATAATGTTGTTAGATTATATTATATTATATATATATATTATATATATATATATTATATATATATTATATATATTATATATATATTATATAAATTATATATATATGTTTTATACACAACATTAAATTAATGTCATGTCAGTTTGCGATTCTACGCAACCGGCAGCCGGTTGGATTTGCAGGGCTCATTGGGCCACTGCCCTGGAAATCCCATTTTCGAGGTTTATATTAATGTATAGAGTTGTGTAAAAAATGAATTATTGCCATCTTTGTTGGATGATACAATCCTCTCGTGATTATATAGATATGGATTTTATATGATTTTAATGATTTTATAGATTTATATATACTGTATGATATTATCGCATCATTGTCTCATGATGCTTGAATATCTTGGTTCTTGGTAGATTCCTTTGGTTTTTGTTTGGTCATGTTCCCATTGTGGTTGGAACTGCAACTATCTCCATGATTATTGGTGGATATCTCCATGGGTGGAGGCTGATTGTTCGCATGCTCCCTGTCGCTGGATTGTATACTCATATTGGGCGGTCATCGATCCATTAATAGGAATAAAATGGAATAAATATATCCTTTATATAGAATGGAATTCCGAGTACTGTTGGAATGATCATAAGGCAATATAAGGCATATGCGGCATATAGCATGGTTTGACCAACGGCACATATGACTCAAAAATACTCAAAATAATTTAGCTCGAAAATTGGGATAGTGGTTCCAAACCAAACATGACTCTTGTATACTTTTTTGTAGCTTCATTGACATTGGCACTTCAATTTTACCGGTGCCATTGATACTATGATTGAAATGGCTGGATATGGCTATGGATCAATACCTATAAGATACATTTTTAGTGGGATGAACATCCATTTACCAGCTATTTTGGGGTTCACTAGGTACCAGGGTTTTGACCCATCCCCATATGTTTGAATCCTGTTTTTGTTGCTCAAAAATCACAAAGATCCCGTAGCATTTCTGCGCCAGGTTCCAACCGACAAGGCTCGTGCGTTTGCCTTCGACATCGACTGGGATGCCGTCCACGTCCCTCGGGACGTGAGTTCAGCTGGGGTGGATGGTTGAGGGATTTAGCCATGAAAAATGGTGATTTTCCATAGAAATAGTGGATTTAGCCATGAAAAATGGTGGATCTTTCCATAGAAATAGTGGATTTACCCATGAAAAATGGTGGATCTTTCCATAGAAATAGTGGATTTACCCATGAAAAATGGTGTTTCAGCTGGAATCTCGGAGATTGTGCCATTTTTCAGATCGGGCAACGACTTGGTGGGATTTTTGACGGGTGGGATGCGGCTGACCGTGATTGGCCTGCTTTCAGGGCACCAGGGCTGGTGGATGTCTTCATTTTTTGCTGCCAAAGTTCTCCTCCATTACAATCATTACCCTCTGGTAATTTGTTACATAGCTATGGAAAATCACCATTTTTAATGGGTAAATCCAGTATAAATGGCCATTTTCCATAGTTATGTTAGTTTACCAGAGGGTAAATAAAGATTGGCTCGTGCACGAAGCTGGAAGTCTAGAGATGGCCCATTTTCGGAACTTGACCGAGAGTATTTCCTGAGGGAAATTCGACAGAGTCGAGTGAATTGGGGAGGTTACCCCAAAAGTGGTCCCCCCTATTCCTGAATTGGGGGTTATTTGTCCTGGCTTAACATTCAATCCATACAAATTCTCTACAAATTCAATCTTAAATCAGTAAATCCTCCAAAATCATGATTCTAAAATGGTTGGCCAAAATCGAAATTGTTCCCCCAAGCCAAACACCTCATCTTTGTCGACAATTCATTGGGTTGGCACTTCGTCACGGACCTCGAGAATGCACGAGTTTGGCAACTCGCAGAAGGTGTGGCGACGACAAAGCTGCAGTCGATTGGTTGATACTAGGTATCCTCTGGAAAATCTCACATGGCAAATGGAAATCCCTTTGTCTAATTTCATTTAGTTTCTTATGTGTCTAATTTGAGTTTATTCACTTTTATACATAGAAGTATAGTACCCTCTGGTTATTTAACAGTTCGCCATGGAAAGATCCACCATGTTTAAGAACGGTAAACCATCTATTTCAATGGGCCATCTATACCATGGCGAACTGTTAGTCATAACCAGAGGAATCCATCAAAGTTGAGGATGTTCCTCTGCCATGAAAGGGGATGTGTTGACAGTTGGTACATGTTGGTAGCCACCAAAAAAAAGTCACGGACAAGAACTGAAGATTGCTTCAACATTGCTTCTAGAGTCTATTAGAGTCTCTCAATTCACGTTGGCCCATCCGAATTTGGAAAGATCATGTCCACTTTTTCGGAAGGCTTTCATGTACCCTCTGGTAATTTAACATAACTATGGAAAATCACCATGTTTAATGGGAAAATCCACTATAAATCACCATTTTCAATAGCTATTTTGACATAACCAGAGGGTATCCAAAAACCAACCAACACGATGCCATTTATCGACACGTTTTGTTGGAGGGATGGGAGTGATTTTCTGCCGCATAGCGGCGCAGCGGTGCAGCGGTGGAATCTGCCATGGATTTCATGGGGACCTTAAAACACCACCCGGGACCTCATGTTCCTGAAAATTTGCGAATCGAAATTGGACTTAACTTCTTATTTCTAATATTAAAAATATACGAATTCGTGATAATTGGATATAATTCGTGATAATTCATTTCGATAAACCCATTTTCATATATGTTCATCCCATTTCAAAAAAAAGATGTATTCTTACTGGTGCTTAGTAGGGAATGGATGGGAATGGGGGTTGCTGGGATGATTATTACTATAGTGATTATGAATCATTCCCTCATTCCCTGCTAAGCACCAGTAAGTATTTCCTACATCGCCCCAGAGTGAGAAACATCGCCATTCTGCGCCCGGATGTCACGACGTGGCCACGACGGTCGCGTCTCACAACGAAGAGATCGAAGAGATCGAAGTCTCACAATGACGCAACGCAGCAAGGACGAGTCTTGAGTGGTTTGGGAGCGAAATGGGGAAGTCAATTGGCTGTTTAGTGGCTCAACCATTACCATTGCTTAGCCAGCAAATATTGGGGATCAACATGGATTAACCGGATTTAACCAGCAAATATGGGGATTTCATCAACTGCGCCAATAGATATGGGAAGCTAAACATAGCTAAACCATAGCAAAATTATGAAAATGGAAGGAAGCTGACTAGCTGGGGTACTAGAGATACTCCAAAAAATACCCTCCAATCATCAAACGTTGCCACGGAAGATCCCCCATTTATAGAGGAAAATATCCCATCAAAAGCTCCATTTAGTTCGGAAAATTTGTCCGGCTTGCAATGTTTGATTACAGGATCCGGAGGGTAACTAATCTTTTGCAGTTTTAAAAGGTGTGATATGTAAGATTGGCCATGATTTTGGACGTCAAATGGGACTTCTTTTGCCATTTCTATGGAGGAATATATTTGATGTTTTACCTTTTTCGAAGGAGTACAATAGTTTGCCATCTCAGGTGTCCAAAAGTTGCAGCCCCAAACCTATGGTCCCATGGTTCTGCTACACAAGAACAAGCCGTTTTGTTGTTGGGTTAGCTCATTTTTGAACACACGCCTCAGACATCCTCAGATTCTACACAATTTACCTTTTGGTAATTTAACATAGCTAATGGAAAATGCCTCCGTCATAGATGATTTACCTATATTAAAATGATGATTGTCCATAGCAATGTCAGCAATGTCAGCAATTACCAGAGGGTAGCTTTGGGACGACACTGAAGCTGGAGGGAAGTTTAGCGTTTGTTGTGGAATAAGCTTGCGCTGCTTAGTCCCTTCCAATCAGCTTGCTTTGCTTTGCTGAGGGCAACAACATCATCGAGAAAAAGCTTCGACCCTGGGTCAAGAAGAAGGCTCAAAGACTTGTGACTTGCGTTGCTGTTCTGTTTTAGGTGTTTTAGGTGCTGTGAACAATCATACAATACGAAATATATCGAAATATAGAAATCCCCTGGCTGCAGTGATAATCAGTGCATCATCGAGCTGGCAGGTGACTGAATTCCTTGGAAACGAGGAACAGGTGGACCGTCGAAAAATCCATCCATTGATGCATAAGATGCATATGATGCATAAGATGCATATGCATGATTCTGCATGGAGAAATGCCGCATGATTTGGATAGATTTTCGGGGATTCATCCATCAAGATCCATCAAGACCCATGGCCCCGTATCAGCCATGTGCGAATGATGATTCCTTTAAGAGATTGTTGGTTTGTACAGATATGTCCAGTTTAGGGATCAAATAAACCAATATACCATAATATACCATCTAGATCCATCTAGTAATTTATGATAGCTACTGAAAATCACCAATTGTTATGGGTTTTATCAAATCATGTATAGATGGGTAACATTTCATAGTTTCCATATGTTAAATTTAAACAATATGATCCATAGCTGTCTCAACTGATCTCTTTACTGGGGGTCCCTATGGTTACCTGATACCTGAGATATTTTTTCAAATGGCGATGACCTATGAAATTATAGGGGAAGTACTATCCATTCTCCGGCTACCCTTTGGTAATTTGTTACATAGCTATTGAAAATGGCCATAGAAATAATGGATTTACCCATTGAAAATGGTGGATCTTTCCATAGTTATGTTAGTTTACCAGAGGGTATATTAGGGTACCTAGGTACCAGGGTTTTGACCCATAATCGATATGGTTGAGCGGGTTGAGCTGCCAGGGGATGATCGAGTTCATCCTGAAGAAGGCAGGATGGTTTTTCCTGGGAATGTGTGCAATGGCTTAAGGATCATTTGGATTAGTGGATGAATTATCTGGATTTATTCGGATTCATTGGGATTTCGTTGTTCTTTTACCATTCGAAGCCGGGAAGGCAGCCTTTCATCCTGCTGGCCAATCATGCTTTCAGTAGGCACCGGCATGTCATCCTGGACAGGTAACAGCTCACACAAAGCCAGACATCATCCTAGCCGAGTGTGGAATCCAAGCAGTTGGGTCACAGTCAGGTGTCAGGTTGCAAGGCTGTAGACACTCAGTACATCTCAATACTATGTTGTACTGATATGTACTGATATTTAATATCTGATTTTCAGATACTTTTTCTGTACATCTCAATTTTTGAGAAGCTATCTGATTTCTTTGATTTGTTGATGTTGGTGAGGGATTTCCTCTGGCTGTTCTGATAGGGTGTTGTGAATGCCAGCAATTTTCCAGTGAACAGCTGAAAAAGATGCGCGTGGCCATGCATTTTTTTCAGGCCTGGTACCTAAAACTGGAGACTTTTCCAGGCCAAGTTAAATAAGTTATGGCAATTTCAAAGGGAAAAATGATGACAAACCATAATCTGCTTGGTGGTTTGGAACATGACTGGATTATGACTTTCCATCTATTGGGAATGTCATTATCCCAACTGACTTTTATATTTTTCAGAGGGATAGGTATACCACCAACCAGTAATTGAATTTTGGGTGTCCCAAAATTCTCAGACAAACCGGGAGGCATCCGGGAGACAGTCTTTCCAGATGGATCATAGTAGAAGGTTTTGGTCCCAGATGTAGCCAAGGGGTTGGTGGGAAAACCCCCCCAGCTTGGGGTCAACAAACATAGCTGGTTCCGAAAGTCCCTGATTTCGAAAAAACGTTCCTCTTCCGAATTGGTGATTGTCCAAGTTATTCAAATGACCCTCTTCCGAATTGGTGATTGTCCAAGTTATTCAAATGACCAGAGAGAACAGTTGGGGTTGCTCCAGAGTTACTTGAGATTGCCCTTCTGGTAACATGGGCGCTCGGAACTGCC